TTCCCTCTTGTGTGGGTTCAGAGCGAAATCCATATCAGCTCGTTTGAACGACATCTGGCTTCTCAGATGCAAAATGTGTGCACGACCGTTGAGAAAAATCAAACCAATGGTAAAACTCCAGCCACACTATGTCTGCGTGATTTTGGTAGGGCTTGCAGTCACCCTGATCACCATACCTCTAGATTTTTGTGGGTGTATTGAAGGATGATGGGGTGAAGGGTCATGCAAACACTGATACGCACCTCATTCTCGTCAAGAGCCTTTTCCAGTGCGCCCATATCAGCCGGGTCGATCACAGTCGTCTGACATGCGGTGAAAGGGTGGGTAGAGGAAGGGGGGAGTGAAAAGGTGGGTATGAAGGGCAAGAAAGGCGAGGGAGCGAGATGGTGAGACGGGGTGAGAGGGGAGAAATCACGAAAGCAAGGATTTTGATGGACATAGAAGTGGGGAACCGAGAGGTCAAGTGACGCCGAATAGAAGAGATTACAGGTAGAAGTAGTGAGTGCACGGCATCGCAATCAGTCCGCGAAACACTCCTCCCCTCTTCCCTTCCCTTCTTGCCCTTCTCTTTCCCACCGAACTCTCCTGCACCCCCGCTCCCCTCAAGCGGCACTCACGGTGATGCCCATTTTGGGCAGCATGGTCTGAATGAATTGGCGCGTGCGGCGGTAGCAGTCGGTGGTGGTCACGATGTGCCCGCCCGCCGGCACCAGCGCCAGCAGCATCGTCGTCGCCGCGCACATTCCCGACGACGACAGAAGCGTCGCCTCCGCCTGCTCCAGCTCGCTGGGGGGTGAGCGGAGAGCAGAAGGCGCAGACAGACGTTGGAAAAAGGGGAGAGACGAAATGCAGGGATGGGTTGAGAAACGAGTGCACCGTTGGAATGGCGTGCGCGCGTAGCTTGGAAACAAACAGAGGGTAGATTACAGACAAGAGCGGGATTTCCGTTCCGGGATTTCGTCATCCTGTTCTCGTCGTGCTGACCCAAAAATCGGCACGTGTTGATGAGGCCCAGGGGCGGGGAGCGAGAAACAGCGCGCGGAAGGTTGTGCTTACCTGATCTTGCGCTCCACGGTGTCGGTCGTTGGGTTGCCGTACCGCCCATACTCGAAGCTCGTCTTCCTCCCCTCCTGCGCCGACAGAGTTGCGACAGAAAAAGAGCTGATGTGAATCACAAGGCATGACGACTAAAACGTGCTCTTTCTACACTTCTAGATTAAAACGCACAAGGACCTAAGTACTTGAAAATCGGCATAACCACCAAAGACAAAACACAACTAGAAAATGTGACGGATCTGACAGGTGTAACGAACGCGGGAAATGCAGAAGTGGCGAGAGAACGTACGACGAATTCGATGAGGTCGGCAGTGTCCTTAAAGAAGTAGGTGGACGTCTGCACGATGGGCGTCGTCAGCGAGTCCACCACCAGTGGACGTCCAGGTCGCTCCCCTGCAAGCGCGGAATAGCAAAAAGAAGTAAATGCATTTCAACTCACGCTCCGATTTGAACAGCGGTTTGCAATGCCGCTGTTCAGCTAATTCTTTCGCCCTCCAAGCTCCATCTTCAAACACGTGGTCGTGTAATAAGAGATTTAAGTTGTGGACAACGCTTATCCAGGAAAACTGACGAATCCAAAGAGCTGATCCAAAACGGTTTACAGTTTTCGTACTCCAATATCACAAGAAGCGTTTAGTGATCACCAGTAGCGAGCGCACCTGCATGGACGGACTTAGTGGACAGCGACGACCTCGCCTCAACCGCCTCCGAGCTCTCCATAGCTGCAGAGGAGCCGGATTTTGCCGTCTGCGCGATCGGTGGAGGGTTAGCGTGCGTCGCGCAGCCGTTGACTGACGTCGACCGGGCACCGACGGCTTGATCTTTCGCCATCGACAATGGAGATCGAATTGGCGACGCAGAGGATGGGATCTGCGCAGCGCCTAAGCGGAACGTTCGTCTTCGTACGGGTTTAACGACGAAGCTGTTGCTGTCTAGATGTTGGCTCGAATAATGAGCGACACTTCCTAAGGTGCTAGATTCAGCAACGGTTAAGATTGTCCGAGACGGAATGCTGATTGCGGAGGCCATTGACTAAAGCACTAACTATATTGGTTTGTATAACTATACACGGCAAGGCTAGAAGAAGCGAATGCAAGCAAGTCCAATCAAAGCGTGTTGGTCAATCGGAGCCCCAAGAGAATGGGCGATGGTTTATCTCGACCATGCCGTCGCCACCATACTGTCCTGATCACCAGACGCTGCTAGCGAGAAAGGCGGTGGGGGGGACGAGAGGTCACAACTTCAGGAACTGCAAGGGTTCTAGTTCACAGATCAAGCATGGAAGAGCAAAACGAGGGAATCTAGGGTGTTGTGGGGTGGAGTATAGAGATAAAAGAAAAGATGCTGTTTTGCAAGACCCTCAATGAAGCCCAGGAACCAGGGTGAGGTGAGGGCGGGAGGGAAAGGATGACAACGACGGATGGAGCTCCCAGGAAACTGGGTTGTGCTGTTGTGGATTTCTGATCGGATGGTTGAGGCTGCACACGACAGGGATATGAGTTGGCGATCTTACAGCAGAAAAAGATCGAGCGGTTGTCTGCACCTTGTCCTTTATCAAGATTGTTTGCTGCTGACAGATGCGAATTATACACGTGGACTGATGCAGCCCGTTTTCGTCTTGTGGTTGGTTGTCAGTGAGACAGGTTGGCGCAGTCAGATGCATATTTTAGTGGGGTGGCGCTGTAATAACAAGTTTTGCAGCGCAAGTGTGAGCAAATCTTTTATGGAAATGTTACCGTAACTTGTATCGGAGGTTTTGTATTGGGCAAAGAAACTGTACCTCTTGTTTTCTCACGCCGTAAATACTTGCGAGTGTCTTCGATTGGTGCACTCGCAAGCCATTATAAGGGAAATTATACGCGCAGTCACAATTTAGGCCGTATTATCACGTTTGGTCACGGGGTTATCACGGACAGTCACAGTACAGTATTTCGCTATCACGTGTGATCACAGCGCTATCACGCGTGGTCACACCTCGCCCCGCAGGGTTATCACGTTTGGTCACTCGTTGAAACGCCCGCCAAAAAGTCGAAACTCTCAAATCGACTGTACAGATTCGGGTACTATTATCTCGCGCGCGTTTTGTCTGTAGTGAAAAACGTGATATGACTGTCGAAATATACTCGGACCTTGTTAGGGACCGATGCAGTTTAATGCACAGTCCGCATGTTGCAGTGAATATAAGCGATCAATAACAGTTTCGATTATACATTTAGTTTAGGGTGTGCATTTCATCCATAAAACAAAGACATGGGTTTGGGTCGAATGATTTAAAAAGTGAGAACATTGAAATCATTCGAAAACCATACAACAATCTGTGGCATATGATTCTTGAGTGGGGACTACAAATTTGAGTCCCCACTCAAGAATCATATGCCACAGATTGTTGTATGGTTTTCGAATGATTTCAATGTTCTCACTATTTAAATCATTCGACCTAAACCCATGTCTTTGTTTTATGGATGAAATGCACACCCTAAACTAAATGTATAATCGAAACTGTTATTGATCGCTTATATTCACTGCAACATGCGGACTGTGCATTAAACTGCATCGGTCCCTAACAAGGTCCGAGTATATTTCGACAGTCACATCACGTTTTTCACTACAGACAAAACGCGAGCGAGATAATAGTACCCGAATCTGTACAGTAGATTTGAGAGTTTCGACTTTTTGGCGGGCGTTTCAACGAGTGACCAAACGTGATAACCCTGCGGGGCGAGGTGTGACCACGCGTGATAGCGCTGTGATCACACGTGATAGCGAAGTACTGTACTGTGACTGTCCGTGATAACCCCGTGACCAAACGTGATAATACGGCCTAAATTGTGACTGCGCGTATAATTTCCCCCATTATAATGTAGTGCGTTCTTGCTGAGATGTTGGCGACTCCAAAAGCCATGTGATGAAAAACAACCAATCCAGAAGCTCTTTTCGCTATGCGCATCCCGTAGTTGGCACTAACTTTTAGCCAATCAAATGAGCAACCTCTGTGAAAGCAGCTGCTGCACCTCAGAAAGGAACCCAAACCTCACGTGCTACACACGAGCGTCCACTTTTCACAAATACCCCCACTTCCTCTCCCCACCACCCCATCCCCCCAACCTCCAGCCCCAAACCCCTCACCTCCCCACTCGCCTCGTCGGCAACTCTGCAAGAAAGAAGTTTCTGTGGCAACACACAGCGTTGCTGTGCGGTTCGTAAATTTTTTCAGCGGTTTCCGTAACGCCGCCGCGAGCGGCACTTCGAGAACCCGCTTTCGCGGGTAAAATAGTTTGTCTGTCCTCTTCCCGCCCACGCCAAAACCCGAGGCTGGCGGAAGCATGAAGGTGGGTTGATAGATAGGTGTAGCGTGCTTCGTTGAGCTGTTCAGTGCCCATTGCTGCTCTTCAGCATTGTGTGTAATAGCTCTTGTCGTGCCATGAAATACTTGACTTTTGTCGTTGTTAACTAGCAACAAAAAGCTGTTGAACGAATCAAGCAAACCATGCGTAATCGCCGCCAACAATTTCTTTGTTCTGTAGGGCCTTTCGTCGTTCGCGAAGTAAAGCGCTAGTTGCTCCACGCCCCATAAAATGACACTTCGTTAGAGTTAATTACTTCATAGCGTTAACTATGACAAGATCAGCCTCTCGTAGTCGAAGATCCGCAGCCAATTGTTATTTATGAAGCAATTACAGGTTATTCCCGTTTTACCGTATCCACAATCAGCAGCATCTTCTCTCCGCAATTACCTCTCCTCGCATTAAGAAACGAAAGCCCGATTCGAGTTTTTCTTGAGTCGTCAACTGACCCCTTTCAATCAAGCAAACTAATTATCGCACAACTACTCCTTTCGGGGAGAAAGTATTGTCGGAGTATTTAGCGAAAGCCAGCTTCGCGTGTGCTCGCATAGCACCCCCTTGCGTCTACCGCACGGTTCTCGGCGCACTTAGAAATTAACAATGGCCGACAGCAAGGTGGCGCGCGTCGGCCTTCTGGACTTCAACACGTTCGCGCAGGCGGAGGGAATTGACCCCAAGGCGGAGGGGGTCGTCACGCAGAAGGCGCTTCCCCCGCAGGCGCGCCCGCAACCCGATCAGCCCCTCCCCGCGCGCCCGCAGAGCAACGGCGCGCAGCGGGACGCGGAGAGGCGGCAGCAGCACCAGCCGCTGCTTGTGGAGACCCCCCCGTGCCGGTCGCCGTCAGACTCGTTAGGAGCGAACTCGTTCGAAGCGAACGCGCCAGAAGCGAACTCGATAGAAGTAAACTCGTTAAAATTACAAGAAAGAGCGGTCGGAACGGAGAATAAGGCGGGGTGTTTTGAGATCGAGAGTGGCGATGAAGGGACGGACGGGGGGGGAGGGGCGAAGGGCGAGGGGAAACTGGCGTGGGAGATGGATATGTCAAAGGTATGCGCGATGTTCTGAGTCTTATGAGGTACGGTTGGGGGTAATGGGGTATGTTTGGAGAAAAATGGGGGTGTGGTTGGAAGGTAGGCGGGGTACGGTTGGTGGGGAGGTTAATGGGCCCAGGGAGGAGTTGGGCTATTGCTCTTTCCCCCTGCATATCGCCTTGCTCTGCCATCCGAGTTCGGCTATTGCTCTTTCCCCCTGCATATCGCCTTGCTCTGCCATCCGAGTTCGGCTATTGCTCTTTCCCCCTGCATATCGCCTTGCTCTGCCATCCGAGTTCGGCTATTGCTCTTTCCCCCTGCATATCGCCTTGCTCTGCCATCCCCTTGCTCTGCCATCCCCTTGCACGTGTCACTGACCCTTCCAAAATGCCGTTCCTTCCCATGACCCTTTTTGTTCTTCCCTTCGATTCCCCTTCCTCTTCCCACTCCCCTTCCCCTTCTCCTTCCCTTTCCCCTTCCCCAACGATGGCATTGATGCGCGTGCCGCCACGCCACGTGTACTCCGCAGGTGCTCTGCACCAATCAGCTGGCAGCAGGTACCACCCCCGCTGCCCCGTCCATTATCTCCTTCCTGCACCAATCAGCTTGCAGCTGGAGCCCAATACAAGCTTACCTTTTTGTTTCCTTTATTTCTTTCTTCATTTCTTTTCTTTGGAAAAGTTTTTACTACTTAAAGGGCTCTTACCTGATGTTCAACCTAATCCCTGTGCTTGTTTTATGCAGAGGGGACAAAACAGAAGAACCAAAACAGACACCTGTACCACGGGCTGTTCGGGCAAACCCCCCTAAACCTTTTCTTGCACCTCGCTTTTCCCCCTTTGACCCCCACCTCCCCCTTCTTCCCCCCCTACTCCCCCACTCCCCCACTCTCCACTCCAGGCGCGTTTGGGCGCGTGTACCACGGGCTGTACGGGCAGGATGACGTGGCAGTGAAACTGATCAGCGTGTCGCCCAACATCCCCCCCAAGGAGCTGGCGAGCATAGAGGCGGGCATTCTGCAGGAGATCAACGTGTGGCACACGCTCAAGCACCCCAACATCGTGCAGGTGCGCTCGTGCGTGTGAGAGTGGTTGAGAGTGAGTGAAAGTGAGTGTGTGAGATTGTGGGGCGAGGTAATGTGCGAGCTTGTGAGGGTGTGTAATTGCGTTGGTTGTGCAACGGTGGTCCCTTGGATTGCCACGCAGTCAACCTCCCGGCTTCCGCCCCTCCCCCATCTCCCCCGCTTGCTTACCCCATCTTTTCCTGTCCCCTGTCCCCTCCCCTATCCCCTGACCCCTGTCCCACTGCAACGTAAGTCAGTTCACAGGAGCCTCGTTGGATGCCAGCAGCATCGTGGTAAACCCATCATCGCCCCAATCCTTCCCTTCCCTCCCCTTATCTCCCCCCACCCCAGTTCATAGGGGCATCACTAGACGCCAGCAATATTGTGGCGCCAGCAGAGGCGAAGCCGCCGCCCGGCACGCCGCTGTGGGCGATCGTCACAGAGTACATGTCGGGCGGCACGCTTCGGAACTATTTGGCGCGCCGGCGACGCCTGGCAGAGAAGGACGTTCTGCGGATTGCCTTGGATGTGGCTCGTGGGCTGGAGTGAGTGGGCGGAAGGGGGGGGAGGGAGGGGAATGGAGGGGACGTGGGTTGCTGATTCTGTTGTGCATGGGGGGCAGAAGGGCGCCGGGAGGTGAAGGACGGGCTGCAGATTGCATTGGATGTGGCGCGAGGGCTGGAGCGAGTGGGGCTGAGAGTGGGGGGGAGAGGAAGATGAGGAAGGGAACAGGGGGAAGAGGAAGGGGGGGGGGGGGGGGGGGGTGCATGGCGAGGGGCATGGAGGAGAAGGGCGTTCTGCGCTTTGCCCTGGACGTGGCTTGGGGGCTGGAGTGAGTGGTGGGGAGGGGGAAGGGGGTAGGGGGAAGGGAAGGAGCACAGGGGAGGGGACTGGTTGGGTTGTTGTGTGTGGTGGGGCAAAAAGCGTGGGTTAGTTGAGGGAGGCGGTGGTGCGGTTTGCACTGAACGGGTAAAACGAGAAAAATGAGTCAGGACAGATCACGAGTAAAATCAGTCTGAAAGGAGAGGAGAATCAAGAGCTGGGAATGGCGAGCAGGTGAGGGCGATGCGATGCGAGAGACGAGAGACGAGCGCAAACAGTTGCATGCAGGCTTTTCTCGTCTCTCTTCTCTCGCATCGCATTGCCCTCACCTGCTCACCATTACCAGCTCTTGTTTTTCCTCTCCTTTCAGAATCGTTTTACTCATGATCTGTCCTGAGGCGGTGGTGGTGCTAGGAGAGCGAGCAGGGGGCGAGCGGGAGGTGAGGAGAGCGAGCAGGGCAGCACACCACGGAGATGAGTTTGGCCACCATGCTGCTGTGCTGCTGCAGGGACTGTATTTACACTGCCCTTCTTGGTGGTATGGTTATCGATTGTTATTATTTTTCCCCTTTGCTCCCGCTCCATTTCCCCCACGTAGGTACCTGCACGCGCACCACATAGTGCACCGGGACTTGAAGTCAGACAACATTCTGGTGAGCTACAAGGGCAGCGTCAAGATCGCTGACTTTGGCGTCGCACGCACGGAAGCTAAGAACCCCGGCGACATGACGTGTGAAACGGGCACCGTGCGCTGGATGGCGCCTGAGGTGAGCCTAGAAGGGGGTTGTGCGTGGGGTATGAGTGAGAGTGTATGTGTGTCGCTCTCTTTGTGTGTTAAGGGTGGCTCGCACCAAGGCCAAGAACCCCGGCGACATGACGTGTGAAACGGGCACCGTGCGCTGGATGGCGCCCGAGGTGAGATGGTGATGGTGACTGAAGAGAACGGGATAGCATCCCCCGGGCTGGGATGAGCTGTGGACGTGTAAGCAACAGACAACCATAGAAATCCTCCTCCTTCCTAACCAGATGAGGTGACTCTCGCACATGCTGTGCACATGCTGTGCACATGCTGTGCACATGCCGGATGGTCGTCCACTCCACACATGCAGCAGGTATCGTGCTGCAAGGGACTCACAGTTTACACCTGACTCCCTATCCCCCTCTTCTTCCTCGCTTCCCCCTCACACGCAGGTGATAGACCACAAGCCGTACACACGCAAGGTGGACGTGTGCAGCTACGGCATCGTGCTGTGGGAGACTCACTAGAACCCCATTTAGAGGCCATGGTTCAATACGTGGCAGCAAGTGATTAGAGTATGACACCAGAGTAGGTGAAATGTTGGTGTTTGCAGCTACGGCATCGTGCTGTGGGAGACTCACTCACATCACAATCCGACCCTCTTTCTCCCCTCCTCCGCCCACAACTTTTCAGGTGATAGACCACAAGCCATACACCAGGAAAGTGGACGTGTACAGCTACGGCATCGTGCTGTGGGAACTGGTGACGTGCGAGCTGCCGTTCAAGGGACTCACCTTCATCCAACTCGCTTACAACGTTGTTCACAAGGTGCGCTCGATGTAGTCTAGCATGAGTAAAGCAAACGAACCACACGGTGTGGAGAGCCAACGGGCTCATACCTTCAAAAGCTCACCCACACCAACTCGCCTACGACGTCGTGCATAAGGTGCGCGGGGCCCGGGATTTATTACGGCGGAGGGTGTAAAAACGAATACGGATTCGAATACAGTTATCTTAAACGAATAATTGTCGAATACCTGGCTGAATACCTGTCCCTCCACGAATTCGAATACGGTTTGAATACATGGTGTGTCGAATACGGTTGCGAATAAAAACAGGTTGCGCAAACAAATATTTGCTGAAATGCATACTGAAGTATCATTGACCCGCTTTTACTCTTACTCATTGGCCGTGGGGGATGTATTCGAACGACATGGGGGTGAACGACATGGGGGTGAACGACATGGGGGTGAACGACATGGGGGTGAACGACATGGGGGTGAACGACATGGGGGTGAACGACATGGGGGTGAACGACATGGGGGTGAACCACATGGGGGTGAACCACGTGGGGGTGAACCACGTGGGGGTGAACCACGTGGGGGTGAACCACATGGGGGTGAACGACATGGGGGTGAACGACATGGGGGTGAACGACATGGGGGTGAACGACATGGGGGTGAACGACATGGGGGTGAACGACGTGGGGGTGAGCCACATGGGGATGAACCACATGGGGGTGAACCACATGGGGGTGAACCACATGGGGGTGAACCACATGGGGGTGAACCACATGGGGTGAATCACATGGGGGTGAACCACAAACCACATGGTGTGGAGAACCCAAGAACTCTATTGCTCGTGCTGTCAAGACGCCTCACCTTCATCCCGCTCCCATACAACGTTTATGCACAAGGTGGCCTACAGGTGCACAAGCTTGCAGCAAGCAACAGTCTTGAACACCTCAAAACCACACCTTCCGCATCATCCCCGTTCCCCACACCCCCCTCTTCACAGAACCAACGGCCGGACATTCCCCCCCGTGCAACCCCGAGCTGGCAAGGCTGATGGCAGAGTGCTGGGATTGTGATGAGCCAGTGCGACTAGGGCTTGCAGTCAGAGTCTTAACACACCCCACACCCCCCGCATCCCATTCCTGCCACAGAACCAACGGCCGGACATTCCCCCTTCATGCAACCCGGAGCTGGCAAGGCTGATGGCGGAGTGCTGGGACCGCGATGAGACAGTGCGCCCTGAGTTTGCAGAGGTGGTGGCTCGCCTGGAGAAGATCCAAGCAGAGTTAGGGTCGGCGGGTGATGGTCAAGGCAGTGGTGACACTGGGACAAGTTGCTGCACGATACTGTAACACATATTATAGAATAGTGTTTTATATATGCCATTAGGAGTTTTTATTCGCTGGATGCGCAAGCATCCAGGACTTTAGGTGTTTGTTATCCGTGCTTACAGCATCTTGGTTGCTCACCTTGAGCTGTTTTTTCAGCAAATATTCAATCTAAACTGCTGTCAAGAGGAAGCTGCGACCATACCATAGACATCCCTGTCTGTGTACGTAACATAACACGAATATAAACGAGAGACCACACGGACATCACATGGTAAGGCTAGTCATTCATGCAGTCTCATGATGACAACCTCATCTCACACTTGCTTCCAGTGTCCAAGCAAGCAGCTCTGCATACCCCACACCACACCAGACTCGCACGTACTGTGTGATGCGTTGTGACTCACCCAACATGCCCATCCCATCTCCATCCGCATCCCCATCCCCATACACACCCACCCATCTCCTTCTGCTAACCCATCTCCTAAATCTGCGACTCTCAACCCTTCACTGCGCCCTTTCCCTCCACCGGGGCCCCCTCCTCCCCCCACGGCCCTTCCTGGAACATTACTGCCTTGCGCCAAACCCTATACCGTCCCACTCGTTCTGAAAACTGGCTCGGCCCAAACCCAGAGTGCATCCTACCCACGCCCGGACCATCATCCATGACCGTGCCGAGCCGGGCATGGCAGGCTCGGCAGCGCATGACGGTGCGGTCGCGGTGAATCCCGAACGAGTTGGTGCTTTCAAAGAACGGCCCCCAGCGGCTCTCCATGGTTGTGACTATAGCGAGTTGCTTCGCATCGACGCTGCTTCGCTCGAAGGAGATGGAGCCGCGATTCCCGGCGTCGAAGCGGACGGCGGGCGGAAATATGGCGGACGTTGACAGGCCGAGGTCCGCCCCGCAGGCGAGGCAGCTGGAGCGCGAGAGGGGACGGGGAAGAGGGGAGGTAACGGGTTGGGCGAAGAAGGGATGGAAAGGGAAGGGAAGTGCAAGAGGAAGGGAAGGCAAGGAAGTCGAGACATAGTGCATGAGTGGGCGGTATGCACGTACAGATAGTGACCAAACGGCAACGCTTCATCCTTCATCATGATTGTGAACTCGACAAGTTCTTGCACGGTGAGGAGAATCAATAAACAACACTAGAATTAAATACATTTCTAAAGGTTTTATGGATCTGTGGCGCAATGGTAGCGCGTCTGACTCCAGATCAGAAGGTTGCGTGTTCGATTCACGTCAGATTCAATGCCCCTTTTATCGCTATTTCGTGGAAATGGAGCTTCCAAATTCTTTGGCAATGACGCAGTTGGGTCTACTCACACTAGGGCTGACGTTTGGGTTGGGACTGCACGTTGGGAATAGTGCAGCAGCTAGTAAAAGTGGAAAATAACAATCTAACAGCCCCATCCATTCTTTGAATGGGTGCAGTATCTACACCAATGGCAAGTGACATTGCTTGTGCAAGAGACACGTTCCTAAGCTGCTCAACACAGGGCTCCTATGCAAGAGACGTGTTCTTAGGCTTCTCAAGGGCTTTTGGTGGCCAATAAGAAATATTGTTTAGAGGGATATGGAAGTCCATCTTGTAGACCTGCATAAGCAGCTTAGAAGCCTCCTGCAAATTCCACAAACGACACACACACACACACACACACACACACACACACTCACAACCATTTAGGAAGCTTACAAGCCGTTTGTAAATTGGTGGGTCATTGCAACAGCGCATGACACATGAAAGTGCAGGGAGACGACATACGAAAAGGGGCGCAAAGCACTGACCTCGTTATAGTACTTGACGACACTCCTGTTGGTCACAACATGCGCGCTGGGGTCGATTTCAAACACGTCCAGGTGCTTCCCGCCAAACTCGCCCGCCATTGTCTCCGCGTCCCGCTTGAAGTGCTCAAAGCGCCCCACATAGTCGTACTTGATGCCGTTCAGATTGCAGATGTCCACCTGGCGTGGTGCAGCGGGGGCGATAAGGAAAGGATAGTATCCATTGGGCAAGGGTGAATGAGATGAAAAGCATCGGGCAGAATGCCACACCATGACACTGCATGGCACTTGATTTCACTGCCGAGAAGAAAAGCTGGATGGCAAAAATGCCATATCCGAGGGGCGAGGTGTGTGTGGATTCAAATATACCCCTGCATGTGCACCGTTTCACCCCCCCCCCCCCCCCCCTCATGTGCCCTCTGTGCCCACGTGAGGAGCCAGATGGCTGGCGGTTCATGGTCACGCTGTGCCCCTGCCCCTGCTCCAGTGCCAACACAGAAACAGACTGAATGCAGTGCACTAACCGACACAACAACTCATCCGCACAGGGCAATAACGCGGCCTACCTGGGGCGAGAGGTGGCGGTTCATGGTGGCCCTGTGGTCCTGCATGAGTGCGCCCACCAGCCTCAGGAACGCACGGTAGGTCACCAGACCCTCTGGCGCGCGCACCTCCTCGTACTGCTGCCACACGTGGCGGAAAAACGCCTGGTGGGGTGTGGGGGGGTGAGGGGGGATGAGGAAAGTCAATATCGATTCGAACGCCCTCACTGCCTCGTACTGCTACCACACTGGAGAAAAAATGCGTGGTGAGGGATGGGGTGGAGTGGGAAGGGAGAGGGTGGTGGATAGTAGCTCGTTCGTCACGAAGCAAGCAGGGAGAGCGCGTGCGAGGGTCCTCACAAAGAGGAAATGGAAGAGCACGCACCTTGGCCCAGAGCTGCCTGGGCGACTGTGTGGAGCCGCGGCGCGAGGCGGTGATGGAGGAGGTGTAGGCGAGCTTGGAGAGGTAGGCAGAGAGGGCGCGCGTGAAGGGGTTGCGCACAAACGTGAATCGGAACATGCCCGGGCGCAAGATCAGCCGCACCTGGTGGGCGAGAGGATGACAGGAGGAGAGGAGAGAAGGGGGTGTGTGTGAGGGAAGAAAGAAGGTCGGTGAGCATGGGAGGCAGTGATCATGGGAGGCAGTGATCATGGGAGGCAGTGATCATGGGAGGCAGTGATCATGGGAGGCAGTGATCATGGGAGGCAGTGATCATGGGAAGCAGTGAGCATGGGAGGCAGTGATCATGGGAGGCAGTGATCATGGGAGGCAGTGATCATGGGAGGAGGTGAGCAGATAGGAGGGGGAATGCAGGAGATATCGTGAGTGTGAATAGCACCATGCTATACTTTGCCATGGTAGGTATGCCGTGTTGTCCTTTGCACTGCCTTATCTCTATATCAGGTACGGTTCTATGGGACAGGACCTTCAGTCCTGCCACAGTCACCGCCTCTCATTCTGTGAAATTGGTAGACTACCGGTACAGAGTTGCCCTCTTCACCACGACCCATCATCCTTCACGCCCTCCCACACTCACCGCCTCCTTCTCTGTGAAGTTGGCTGACAGCCGGTGCAGCCCCGTCTCCCTTATCAGCGGCTCCTTGTCCGTGTAAGGCAGGCCGCTCTGCGCGCGAATCCACTGCAGCCACGTGGTGGAGGCCACCTCGGGAATACCGCAGTAGGCCATTCCCAGACGCTCTGCTCGCATGGGGGGCAGCACGAGAGGGGACGGCTTAGGGGAGAGAGGAGAAGGCGGAGGAAAGGCAGGAACAAGATAGAAGAACGAGGAGACGGAAGGGACATAGTGCGTGAAAGTGAGTCGCCAGCATGGCGTACCTTCGACGAAGGTGAATTTGGCCCACTTCTGCTGCGGAATGGGGAGCACCTCCTCCGACTCGCACACCGACCGCGCCACCTCAAACTCCGCCGACCGCGCCCTCCCTTGTGCTGTAACGAAACGCGCTTCTATCGAGGACGAGTTGATGGGGAGGAAGCCCTGAGCGCGGCTGAGGGTAAAGAGCTCAGACACCCGTAACTGATGGCACAGCAGAATCGGATCTCTCTCCGCTCTCGCAACCCTTGGCCCTTCAACTGGGCCGCCTCTGCCTTCCTCGTTCAACCGCCTCCCTCTTCCGCTTCCGCCTTCCGCACCCCCCTGCCCTTCCCCCTCTGCTCCCCTCATATGCTCAAACGCGCACTTTTTCCGCCGCTCCTCTCCCGCGCGGAGCAGCAGGGGCGCGCGCAGGGGGTCGAAATACGCGGTCACAGTGGCGGCGCGCGCGGGGGAGGGGGAGCCGAGGACGAAGCGCAGCGAGGGGTCTTTAAGAGACTCCATGGCGATGCGGCGCATGGCGCAGAGGGCGGCGGAGGCGTCTGATGTGGCGGCGGCGCAGCCGGAACAGCCGGGGGGAGCAAGGTCCTGCCGCACGAGGACGGGAGAAAAGCGGAGCATATGTGAGCTTCGGAAAAAGGAATGTAGGTCTGTTATTGACAATCCAAGAGATGCAAGCGCGTTCAAAGCTACAGAGCTGCGTTCTTCATCCTTCGGATTCCCTTTCCTCGTTTACACCCCTTCTTCCCTCCCTCCCTCCCTCTCCTACCCACGTCTCCCACCCCCACACACGTACAAAATCTCCTGTTTCCCTCTTCACCCTTTTTCTCCCCCCTTCACTCTCCTCCTCCCCCGCGCCCACACTCACGTCCAGGTGCACGGCTACAGTCGCCTCTACCGCCTCCAACTCCTCCTTCGCCACCAGTCTCGCCACGTCAGCGGACGGCTGTAGCGACGCCAAGCACAGATCCACCTCGCGCTCGTACTCGCACCGCGACACTGAAATCTCCGCTATCTCCTCCCCTGTCGCTGCCGCATCCACTGCCGTCTCTCCCGCTGCTGCTGCTCCTGAGCGCTCCTCGCCTGCCACCTTTACCCCAGCGCCTTCTGCTGGCATATAGAGCGCAAACGGAGCCGCCTCCGCTTGCTCGCTTCCGCCCTGCTGCTGTGGCTGCTGCTGCTGCTGCTGCTGCTGCTGTTCTGCGGATTCGCATGGAGAAAGGAACACCTGAAAAGGCAGAAAGAAGGAAGGGGCCACGGAGAACATGGCCTGAGTGCGAGTTGACTTTTGAGTCGACTCAAAAGTCAACTGGCCTGAGTGCTGTACAGTGGCTTTCGAATGGAGCACTTCACTGTAGCAGAAGATGAGGAGATTAACAAAAACAAGGGGAAAAGTGTTGACGCGTACAATTCACGTGTGACGCGTTCACTGTGCGACAGATACGAAACTTCAGTATTTTGCGACAGGCGTGCGACGGTCAGAATGGTTACCGTGCGACGGTTGGAGTTGAGCCCTTTCTTCACATCCTCGCTCGCGATGGCCGAGTCCTTGACGCGCAGGTACCGCCACCCGTTCCTGCTCATCTCTTCCGTACTTCTTACCCCGTCTGCGCTGTCCGCGGTACTGTACTCTTCGCTATGACGAGTCGAGAAGAGGTGGTGGAAGCGCACATGCGGCATGTGTGCGTCCGAGGGCCACAGCGCGACGGTCGGTGTTTGCGTGAGCGAGGCGAAGGCGTAAGCCGCGCACACTGAATACAGACGACTCGGGAGGTCGCCCTGCGATGAAAATGGGAACAAATGTTTAGACGAGCACGGCAGGAACAGCAAAATTGGAGAATCATGAACACGATTGCCAGCGAACTGAACGTCAAATCTCCTCACCCGCACTGCGCATCACTTGCTATGTGCTCTTGAAATCTCCCAACATTGGTTGTGAACGTTTTCCGTTATGGCGCAGGTTGTTACCATACAGCGCGTACCTCTGCGAGAACAATGGCGTCAGCGGGATTGCTCACGAGCAAGCTGCCGCCCTCCAAGCCGTCTCCGCTGTGCGCAGCCTCGTTAATCCTGATAATCTCCACCACTGGTTGCACCTGTTGAGCCGAGTCGCGCTGGGATCTCATAACGACCAAGGCAACTAAGATGACTAGAAGAATGAACGGGCTGCATCGAAACACTAAATCCATCAACTCGAAGAGAATCGAGCATTTCCGTTTCCCGGCCGTGCGGGGCATTGGAGTTGGCTTGAGAAGCCGCTGATGGCTACCGTGCTTCATCATTTTGAGTTCTTTCGTAAGGTCCTAGAATGAGCCCAGTGGGGCGAAGGGCACACGCGATTAGTTACTAGTTTCGGGCTACCTGTATCAAGTATATGTTTTGATGATGAGTACTACAGGCTGCCGATCGCGAATTCTGCGAGTTCTATGCATAAACCCCGACCAATGGCCGCCAAAGTCAAACGCATGTTGAAAGCCTAGATACTTTCAGCGGCCGCATATACTATTCTGTACATCGCCTGGTAGGCTACCAGCCTCACTAGCAACGGCTAAAAGGGTCTCGGGTTCCCCAGAGTCCCAGACACAACAACACCGACATGCTGGTTCAGCTTGCCCACTGATATGGCGGCACGACATCGAAGGCACAGGCAATCAAGGCGAGTGCCGATCGAAGCTGAGTTGATGAGACATGTTCTGTGCCTTCGAAGTCGCCCCAAGTGCACCTCAAATCTGTCAGTTGCTGCCCGCATAAATGTGGGAGGGAGGGGGATGTGCGGCGATTCTGTGATGATGATGGTGAAACTGTTTGGTCATGTTTGCCTTCCTGCCCGTCAAGTTCTGGGGAGTGGATGTTTCCGCCGTCCAAAATTTTGTCAGCAGTGACTGGCGAGCAGGGCGAAACCGCACTGTGAATATCTCGAAGCGCTTGCGGCATGGAAGCCTGACATGCATCGGTATTATTGTGCCGATACAGCATAACGTACAATGACGCACGATAGCTGTAAGGAGGTGGAAATTCTTACAGGTATCAGAGTAGGACTTAATTTTCTTGTAATTAGAAAATTTTAAGTTTACTGGAAGATATTGAATCGTAAAATGCAAAAGAATAATCACTTCTTAGTGAATATTATGCATCTCAATCTGATATATTATTTTTGATGTGCTGATGTATGACTACTGTGTGAGTCGTGAAGTGTACCGCATTGAACATGCTTTTCCCGAGGAACCCAAGAAACGATGCAAGCTCTCGCCACTTCCCCCATTGCACCTGCAAAGTACCCTCTGTTGGCCCACCCTTGTCAGTCACCAGGGTGAATCTCTTTTCCCCTTCATCCTAGAGTCTTTGCCCTGGCTGACTTTGGTGCGGACGCAAACTCACCAGGTTTGATATCGGATTCTGGATTTGTCTTTGGAAAGATTGTAATTAGCGACTCGCAACTCGTACGTCGTTAGCTTCGAGGCGCGATGCCTTTGTGGAGAGTAGAGTCCGTCCCAGATGAGATTGATGCGAGTGCCGATGCGTGTGACAGTCCTACCCGCAAAAGTCTCAAGCCAAGGACGCAGACCTCAAGCCCAATGAGAAGCCCAGCTTCTCAATACCATTCACCGTTCCTAGTTCCGACCGCTCCACCTATTGACGTCAATAAGAATACATCGTGGTTTTCGTATCCTGGAGTTTGGACGACATACTTAATCATTGTCGTACTAGTGTGGCTCTTAATCCTCATAATTTTTCAGTGTAGTGTGGCTTCCGCTTGCGCTGCTGTCAATATTATCCATTTCGTGGTAAGTGAGCGTGATATTTGTTGTAGGCGACGAAGTGTAGAGAGCTAGGTTTTCATGAATATTATTACCGTCGAATCTTTTGCGCCTTAAATGCTGTATCTTTGCATACTTATTACCGAAGAGTCGGATGTGCGTATTCCTGTGCAGGTGACCTTCTACCTTTTCCACTGGAAAAAAGGCTCGCCCTTCGCTGAAGACCAGGGATTGTACGATAAGCTCACTTGGTGGGAGCAGATTGATGGCCGCCGGCAGCTTACTCCCAACCGCAAGTTTTTGACCATGGTCCCTGTCCTATTGTAAGTGCCTTGGAGACGTCAAATTTCAGACTTCTGCTAATTCTGGTACGGTAACCTGCAAGGCTTTCATCCGTGTGTAAAACTCCATGTGGGCCCAATCGTTATATTTTTCACCCTTTTCAGATACCTGGTGACATCCTTTTACATGCGGCATGATCCTAACTCTGAGCTTTTCTTCGTCATCAACACAGTGCTTGTCTTTGCACTTGTCATTGCCAAGCTTCCAGCTCTTGACAAAGTCCGGATATTTGGGATCAACTTTGACTAGCCATCAGGCCAATGGTTTGTAGTACTTCAGTATCTGCTGTTCAGAGCCCGTTTCCTTGAATTTTTGATAGGTGGGCCATGGGCAGACCTTCACCAAGCCAGGTTCTTGTTTATTACTCAACCCCTGTCAGTTGCCATGCCATAACCTGTAGGCACCGTGATGTGCGTAGCTTGTTAAGGGATTGTAAGATTTCTTCTTGCAAATACGGTAAGGGTAGTCAGCTGTCTTGCAAATTCCTGATCCAGGTCCGGGATGAACGAGGAACTGAAGCCATGAGGAAAAAATTATGCAGACTTCACAGCTCCAATCGATCAAACTGCTTTCCAGCATATTTATGACATGATACGTTATGTCTGAATCAACTCATTGACACACTTCAGCTAACATCAAGCACCTCAACGCCCTGCCTTGCGCTCTTGAAGAGGTGCAATGGCTTCGTCTTGCGCACCCTTGTTTGCAAATGGACGTTCTCCTTGACAGTATCGATGGAGACTGCACTGATCTCAGTGTACCCTGTGATGCCCTTCAGCTTCAGACCCACAACACCTGCCATTTCCTTGGGAGTAATCCGGACCACAACCTTCTTCGCATACTTCAGAACTGTCCCGTCACTGAGCTTGATTTCCATTCCTCCTGTAAAATACACCTCCAGGACGCCCCCTGCTTCGGGTTTGCTGGAATCTGTAAGTTTTAGGACATACTTGACGTGGTTCTTTGGGAAAATTCCCACAGGGAACTCGTACTGCTCCAAGATCTCTGGAAGCGGCTTCTGCACTTTGCCTGGAATGGCACGAATGGCAGAGTGATACGTGTATGGCATGGGGAAAAAAAGGAATTATAGTAAACGAAGGTGGATGCAGAAGACAATTAGGGAAGGAAACGAACATAGCATCCATGATTGCGGGCACATGGACTTGGACGAGTAGAAAGGACGGGAACACTTTCCACCAAGTAATTTCACTGCAACTCGTACCCATAAGGCCTTCCCACCAGTTGCTGACAGCTTCTGTTGCATCATTCACCATCGACTGACACAGCGAGATTAGAAACACAGAGAGCACGGGTGTCATGAAGGCAATGCAGATATTTTGCATACAGAATGAACGAGGAGAACTAGTCAACAGGCTGGACATAAGGAAATGCAAAAGTCTATGAATCTGTGGTATTTCGAAAATAACATTACCCGGCACACTCACATTGACTGCTTCTCCAACGCCATTAACTTGCTTCTCAACAGCCTTTCCCGCAAAAAAATCCATGTCGGGACTATCCTGACTAGGGTTAGCGCGACCGAAACTAGCCACTCCCTGAGCTAGTTCAGCCTCAGATCAAAACCAGCACCCAAGAGTAGAGCAGCGTAAACTGCGCCAAGACGAATGAAACGGCTTGACAAAAGGTCGGTGCGGCGGAAGCAGCGTGAGAGAAAAGAGGCCAGATGCAAAGAGCAGAAATGCGTGGTGAGAAGAAACGAGTGGGATGGGATGGGAGGGAACGTTTGTGGCTGGTGATGGTGGGGAGAAAAGATTCGCTGAACTAAAAATTGGCATTGGCTGGGAGGTGGACGCAAAGGTTCTGGTGAATGGACGAGCAGCTGCGACAGTGGCTGCGAACATCAACACCGGTTCGGTTACCTGTTCTGAGAACGTTCGCCTCACATTGGCGAAAGTGTGCTGGTAACACACCAGATATTCAACCCTTTCCCCTTCCACCCCCCCTCCCAAACCTCCCTTACCACTTCCGCCTTTCCCCGAGCTGTTCTTGACGCTGACGCATCCTCGATGGGTATGCACGAAGTGGCGGCAGCAGCACACGCGTAAGTATGTAGCTTGGCTGAGAATTAACAATCGTCGCCTGGGGTTGTCTCGAAGTAGCACGGAAGTCAGGGTGCGGTCTGGCTTGGGGATTTTATTCTTGGTTATTCTCGGTTCCTCTCGGTTCCTTTCCGTTCTTTTGCTGCCATGGCCGACGACGAAGCTTCCTTTTTCGAAGCGATCAGCAGCTTAGGTCCGCTGAGCGAAGCGGAGCTGTCGATTCCCGCGCTCCACGCCGCTGAATCATCGCCCAACGAGTTCAAGATCGAAGAGATCGACGGCTTGCCGTGGCTCCCCCCACTCGAACCAGCTCCTGCCGCTCCTGCTTCCGAGTGTTCCCCAGAGCCTACCCAAGCGTGCGACCGGGAGCATGTCCGACACCATGAGCAGGATTACAGCCGAGAGCAGCATTCTCACTACCAGCGTACTGAATTTCTTGCAGGCAGTCCGGGAGACATCGAATTTTCTCAGGCGATCGACGGTCCCGTCGCGCGGTCTGCGCCGCGAGCCGTTCCACAGCAATTCGGCACGTCCGGATTCCGCCGAGGCTTCCTCCTTTCAGGCTCGGAACCTATTTCCGTAGGTTCGGTGGACCAGAAAATAGAGAGAGCTCAAGCGCAAGGGAGCGACAGACAAGAGGAGGAGGCGGAGGAGTGGAAGGAGTGGATCAGCCTGTCGACCGAAACACATTTTCAGCTGCAATTGTCCGAAGACCAAGACTGGTTCTCTGAGCGTGGGACCCAGGAAGCTTCTGGAATAACAGACACGAGCAGTTTCAGCGGAGTCATTGATAGCACAGCTTCACAGAGCAAGGGTGATTATAACGAGGTGCAGGAGGCAAAGAGTGCGTGCTTGGCGGTTGGAATGGAAGGCGAGGGTATCTGGTCTGATCCCCTGCCTGTGGAGGGAAGTGCATGGGAGGGTGGGCTCCGTTGGGGTGATTCGCATGCTGCAGTGGGGGATTCGCGGAGCAAACAGTGTGTTACAAACGCGGGTGATACTATCGAGGGTGATGCATGGACGTTTGACGATGCTGAAGGTGCGGGGTGTGATGACGAGGTGTTGGGGAGCTGGGTGGGTGAGATGGACGAGGGCGATGGGGAGGTGGCGGAGGAGAGAAGCGAGGAATGGGAAGGAGGGATGGGACTGGGGATGGGGATGGGTTTTGAAAGCACGTGGTCTCGTGGTGCGTCAGCGTTCCCCCCAGGAGCTGCTTCTGCTGAATTCGAGCCTGCTGAAACTGCTGAACCTGCTGGGCCGGCCAGTGACAGTGCTGCGTCCGTTGCCGGCATTGCAGCAAGGCAGTCAGCAGGCAGGACGAACAGCACTGCTGGTGGGGCGTTCGGCAGTGCGGCACCGCCTGCCGGTGGTGGTGATGCGGGTGGGGGGGCGTGCTGGAGTGCGGAGGAGGTGAAGCGGATTATGGCGTCTCTGGAGCAGCAGAGCCAGAGGGTGCTGCTGGCGCAGCAGAGGAAGCAGAGTAGAGAGAGGGGCCAGTTGGAGCAAGATGGCGTGGGGAGGTGGATGGGGATGGGTAACGGTGATGATGTGGGTGGTAGGGATGTGGTTGATGAGCTGGCGAAGGGTCATGCTGAGGTGGCGCGTGAGGTGGATGAGGTGGCGGATGCAGATGAGCGACTGAAGCAGATGGTAGCCATGGCTGCCAGACAGCTGGACAAGGGGCCCTTCACTCCTGCAACTGCTGTTTCTGCGACTACTGCTGCTGCTACTGTTGATGTGACTGCTCCTGATGCTGCTCCAACTCCTGCTGCTCTTGCTCTTGCTCTTGCGGATCCTTGCGGCATGACTGCTGCCACCACTGCTGCACCTACTCTGCCTGCCATTGCTCCTGCCGGAGAGCCCTCAGCCGATGTAATTTCAGATTCCGTTTCTCACACCAGCCCTTTTCACTCAAAAGGAAGTGACAATAGCGGGAGCCTGAGTGGACACCTAGGGGGCGAAGGTGTGGGAGGTTTAGGGCGGGAAGATGGGGGTGGGACGTTCTTTGATGAGGCGAAGGAGCTGGAGCGAGATCTGGTGGCGCGATGGGGTCGAGACGGGGATAGAGGTGCCTGCGATGAGGGCTCTGAGTGGACGCAAGAGGGCGTCAAGGGCGAGAGGAGAGATGAGGGACAGGGAGGGGCCAGGGACGATGGAGATAGTGCGAGGGGAGGAGGGGAGGAGGAAGGGAGGACGTTCTTTGATGAGGTGGCGGGGCTGCAGGAGGAACTAAAGGGGATGGAGGGGGTGCAGGGGTTGACGGGGTTGCAGGAGCTGCAGGGAGTGGCGGTGGAGGAGGGGTTTGTGTCAAGTGCACTTGAGGGATCAGAGCCGGGCAGAGCTACCAGCGCCATCACCTGCAGCACCTGCAGCGGTAGTATTGATACCACTGGCATCACCAGCAATGGCAGCAAGAGCACCCGCTCTGGCTTCTCGTTTGAAGGCGCGTGCTCCTTTTCCACAGGCTCCGGCGCTCGTGAGCGGCCTCAACCCGCACACGGGGAAAGCATCCACACAAGCGGCCTCGCTCGTGCCCGTGACCATGCCCAGCCGCCTGCAGTTCCACCTCTAGCGGCGCTTCCAGCACTGTGTGAAGCAGCACCAAGAGGAGCGCTGGAATGCGGTATGCAGGAGAAGAGTGGAGGGGCAGTGGGGCCTCAGGGAGTGGAGCAGGGGAGGGTGCATCGGGGGAAGGCACAGCTGGGCTCGCGTGGTGGTGCCAAAGGGAGGCTGAGAGGCAGGGGTTTCAAACGGGGATTTCTGCTGGGTGGGGAGGACAGGACAGGGAAGGAGAAGGGTAGTGGTGTGCTGGGTGAGAGTGTGGTGGAGGGAGCGTGGAAAGAAAAGGACGGTGGTCGTGCCAGCCCTGTTAGTGGGGGCAGTCCTGGTAGTATTGACAGCAACGTTGGTGGCGGTGGTGCTGCGGGTGCTGCTGCTGGTGTGGATGCACCTGTTGCATCGCCCTCGCATGCACCACAAGCCGCACACGCCACACCTGCTGCATCCCCCACGGACGAGGCGCAAGCAGTGTTCGCACGTGTGCACCCGCTCTGCATGGCTGTGGTGGACGCGCGGGGGGACCACCAGCAGCTGCCACATGCCATTAAGCGATTAGAAGAGGCGATTGGGCACAGGGACGTGCCTGTGGGGGGGCTTCAAGCATGCCTTGAGTGAGTGAAGTGTCATAGCTACTAAATTACCCACTAGCTCGTGGCGTTTATGAATTAAATGGTGCATTCACAGCCTCATGTACCATCCCATGTCGCATCTGTTTCCTTCCGTCCATGCCGTGCCAGCAAAGCACCCTTCAACCGCATCACGCCTTCCACTAACACCACGCCTCCCCTTCCTTCTTTCCTGGTTTCTTTCCCCCCCGCTTCTCTCCCTTCACGTCACCAGGTTTATCCTCTTCCCGCTCTTGCTCGTACTGTCTCCACCCACCCTAGCCTCCACTCCCTCCTCTTCCAAGCCGCCTGCATCAGCTGCGGCAGGCGAAGGCTGGGCCAGCAGCACAGAGAACGATCATGCGGCTGGAATCACGCCACGTGGCAGGCAGCGAGTGGTGGAGGCAGCCCTGAGCTGCATGCACGTGGCACTGACCCGCTGCGCCGTGCGATCGCACGACCAGGCTGCCTCCCTCCTCCGCTTCCTCGCCTCCGCCACCACCCCCATCTCCCAACCACCTCCCACCTCGAGCACTAGCTCAAGCGTCCCTGATCGCCCTGCTCTCAGCACATCATCAGGAGCAGTAATCCCATCACCGTCACACCCACCATCAGCATCGGCAGCGCTTGCAAGCATGTCGGGCATTGCACAGTCAGAGGAGGCTCGGCTGCTGGCAGTGCGCTGCCTCTCCGCCCTCCTCTCCCACCTCCCTCGCTGCTCGCCCTCCTCCTGCTGCTGCGCTGCTGCTACAAGCGGCCAAAGCACCAGTGCGAGCAGCAATAGCAGCAGCAAGAGCAGTGGTAGCGGTGCGAGCAGCAAGTGTGTGGCGGGTGTGCTGCAGGCGCAGGAGGCAGCACCGCTGCTGGGTCACCTGCTCTCCAACATGCTCGCAGTGAGTGCACCACGCGTGCTGCTCTCACGCTGTGTGACAATTGCTGCTTTCGTTAGTGGAGCTGCTCGTACCTCATCTAAGCAAGAACTCTGCTCTCTCCATTGATTGGAAACGCGGCTGCTTGTACCGCCTCCACCTGGCTGCCGGATCCAACAGCTCATGAGACCAGCGTGCCTGCTGATTGCGCAAGTCCCTTCTTCCCCCTCCCCACATGCCCGGCCACACAGGCAGCAGAGGCGGAGGCTTGGGTGGGCACGAGGGGCAGCCAGGTGGTTCGGGTGGAGGCACTGCGAGCCGTGCGCCTGCTGGTGGATGGGGTGAGCCGTGGAGCATTGCATTCCACTCGGCTGCATGCGTGCATGGTTGCATTGCGTGTGGCAGGGCTTGCACATGGTTCCTGTCTGTGCTACCAGCTACATCAATGCCAGCGTCTCCTGTCGCTTCCATGTTCCTGCGCCCCTCTTCTCCCACCCTCTCGCACACACACACACCTGACTTCTCACCCTTCTCTTATCTGCTGTTGTACTGCTCCCTGCCCTCGTCCGCACCCCATTCCGTTTGATACTGCACACGCATCACACTCGCAGGCGCACACGCCCGCCGCGCTCGCCTTCTTCCTCCCGGGGATCCTCAGTGGCCTCTCCCGCGCCGCCCTCGCCCCCTTCTCCCCACGCTCCAATGAGCCGCTCACACGTGGCGCCGCAGCGGACCCCTCCGCAGTGGCCGAGGCGCTGCTTGGCCTTTCACAGGCGCTAGTGCTGGTCATGGGGGATGCTTATGACGAGGATGGACATGACGAGGGTAAAGGGGAGGAGAATGAGCAAGGGAGTGAGAGATGGGAGACAGAGGAGGAGAGGGCTTTGAGCATGCTGCAGCAGATGGTGGGTCGCATGGAGGGGAGGAAGGGGGAGGGGAGGAAGGGAGGAGAAGGAGAGGAGGATTGGTTGGGAGAGCAGGGGGTGGGGTCAGAAGGGGAGCTGCAAGGAGAAAAGGCAAGCGGCACAGCAGGGACGGGGGAAGGCGCGGTGATACTGAGGGAAGTGAGTGTGAGAAGGCGGTGTGAAGAAGAGAGTAATACCCCACCGACACATGCAGGAACAGGTGTGGGGCGTGCGGGGGCAGGAGGTGCAGGGAAGGGTGGGAGGGGAGGAGACGGCAGGGCAAGGGGGGCAGGAGGAGGGGCGGGGAGAGGGGTGATGGTGCTGCGGGTGGAGATGGACGAGGCGTGGCGCAGGGAGACAGGCGCCAAGGTGCTCGTGCTGCTGCACAAAGTGCTTCCCAAGGTGAGACCTGACGGTACACAATGCTGCACCTCTCCGCTCATGTATGAACTTTCACCTCGCCTCGCCTGCCTCCGCCAGCTGCCGGGGTGACTTGCAAGTCGACTCCACTCCACAGTCGCTGCACAGTGCTTCTGCTGCTCTCCGCTGCTCCCCTGCACCTGTGCTCACCTCACCTGACCTTCGTCCCCCTCCTCCCCCCAGATGCTGCACTTCCCCGCCCCCAAGGTCCGCTGTGCATTAGTAGATATGCTGGGAGAGCTGTTGCTGCGCTGCCCCTGCTCCCTCTCAGCCTCGCGCCCCCTGCTGCTCGTGAGTCCCTCAGTTTTTGTCCGCTCTATCTGTCCATCCTGTCGCGGATTGGGAAGAACTCTGGTAAAGAGCATAAGCATCAGCATCAGCATCAGCATCAACATCAACATCAGCATCAGCATCAGCATCAGCGCAAGCATCAGCATCAGCATCAGCGCATCAGTGCAAGCATCAGCGCATCAGTGCAAGCATCAGCATCAGTGCATCAGCATCAGCATCAGCATCAGCATCAGCGCATCAGCATCAGCATCAGCGCATCAGTGCAAGCATCAGCATCAGCATCAGCATCAGTGCATCAGCATCAGCATCAGCATCAGCATCAGCACAGCACCAGCACCAGCACCAGCACCAGCATCAGCATCAGCACCAGCATCAGCACCAGCACAATGCACATGCATCATCTCGCACCCGTCGCTGCAGTCGGTTCTCCTCCTTGCGTTTAAGTGAGGAAGGAGAGAATTTCCAGCATATGCACCATTCTACCTGCATTTCCTCTTTTGAATAACCCCATGCAACCGCATTGTGCTCCTCAATCAATCGCGTGCAGGAGTGCGTCCTCCTCCTCGCCTCTGACCACTGGCCCTCCGTCGCGTCCTCTGCTCGCCGCCTCCTTGCCCGTGCTGTCATCACTGAGCACAAGCCAGCACCGCCATCATTACCACCAGTAGCAGCGGCTACTGGTGGGGCAGTGCCTCAGAAGTGTATAGGCACAGGGTGCATCGAGGTGGCGAATGTAGCTCTGGCGGAGATGGTGGAGAGGTGCGTCTTGTTCCCTCGAGGAGGGTAATTGCTTTTCTGCACGAGAGCGTGCGTATTTGTTGCACACTTGCTCGCGCGCACGTGGAGGTGCGTGCGCCCACCTCTCTCTTTCTTGAGTGGCCTGACCACAAGCTGCACCTCCCCCTCTCCCTCCCTGCTGCCTGTCCCTGCCCGCCCCTGTCACAACAGGCACATGGCATCCCTCGCAACTCCCGCCCCGCCCACCTCTCATTTCCCGCCCTCCTCCCTGCCCCTCCACTCCCCGCTGCTTCCATCGCCCACCCTCTCCACCGTCTCCCCTGTCGCCTCCGCCTCGCACCTGCAAGCCACCACGGTCTCACTCCGAGTGCTCGCAGCGGGTGTCATCACAGCAGGGCGTCTGCCCACCGCGCAACACATCCTGGACCCGGTGAGCCTCTTGCATTGCATGCTCTCCCCGCCCATCACTCCACTCCACTTGTGACGCATCTCCCAAACATCGCCTGCTGTGTATGGCCCAAACACTCTCTCTCCACCGTATCACCCCTCTCCTGCACGCCCTCCCGTATCATCGTCCCATCCTCCCTTTTTATCCTTACTTGTCCCCTCCTCTCTCTCCCACCACGCCAGGCCTTCTCTGCGCGCCTCTCCACGGCCATCTCTCTGCATCTGCCCTTTGCACCCGGCAGCCCCCACACGCTCGAGTCCTCCCCTGCTCCTGCCCTCGCGCTTTCACCACTGCTGGGCTCAGCTGTTGCGTCAGGTGAATCCCCAGGTGTTATGCCAGCCAGCCCACGTGTTCCATCAGCACTGCGCTCTGCAGCCACAGGAGAGGAGAGCGAGGAGGAGCGATGGCGACGGTGGCTCTGGGTGGTATTGGATCAACACGACGGGCAGCACAACCTGAATGGATCATCTGATCTCAGAGGAGCGACAGAGCCCTCAGTGCGTGTGCTGCAAGGGGCGCTAGCTGTAGATGCCACTGCCCCTCCGCTCTTCTGGTTCTGCCGCTTCCTGCGAGTGCTCGCCCGCCTTGCTGCTGCTGCTGATGCCCGTGATACTGCTGATACTGGTGCTGGTGGTGTTGCTGGTGCGCCGACGACGTGGCAACAGCCAATGGGGGCTCTTCCCGCCCTTTTCCAGCCACTCCTGGAAGGACTGCGTGAGGCTGTGGGGAGAATCGGGGACGAGAGGCGGAGGGAGAGGAGACGAGCCCGGGCCAAGAAGAAGGAAAGGGTGGACGTCGAGGGGATGGGAAAGGGGGTTGAGGAAGGGGAGAGGGGACAGGCGGGCAGGAGGCAAGGGAAAGAGGAGGGGGGGCGAAGGAAGGTGAAGGGGAGGAGGAAAGACGGGAAGTCGGATGGGGAGAAGCAGGGTGCGGAAAGGAGGGAGGTAGAGGGAAGGAAGGAGGGAGAGCAGGACCTTTTAGGGCAGGTTTCTGCTGTTCGGGCAGCTTCGTCATTTCTGTTGGCTCTGAGCGAAGCCCTTGCTGGCATCAGTGGCGGGCCATGGGATCCCCGCCGTGGGGGCGAGGGTGCGGAGATGGGAAGTGGAGCAGTGCAGGTTGAGGAGCGGAGGGAGGAAGAGGAGCAGAGAGATCAGCAGCTCAAGGCAGTGGCGCAAAGGGATGACAGGTGGCATGTGGTGATTGGTCCGGTGGTGCAGTCAGTGTTGGGCGAGCTGCTGAACGAGGACCTTTGGGATCTGCCTGTGGATGTGACGCAGGGGGGAGGGAGAGCGGTGCAGAGCGGTGGTGGAGGGGAATGGATGGGTGAGGAGGAGCGAAGGGGGATGATGCGCAGGCTCAATGAGAACGCCAACCTGCAAGCTGTGAGTGGGGAGCAGAGAGTCAAGAAGGGATATTGGCATGGCTCTGGTATCTCCCTTTGCACCATCTTTATCTTTTCATATTTTCCCTTTGCTCTTACCTTTCTCTTCTCCCCTCCTCCCATCAGGTGCTCCTCCTATCCCTCTCAGCAGCGCTCTCAGCTCTCGGCCAATCACACGCCACAAACTCCGGTGCGCTGCGCCGCGCCTTCCCTCCGCTGCTGCGCGCGCTCGCCTCGCCCCACGCGCGTGTCTCCTCCGCTGCTGCACATGCCCTCTCCTCCATCAGCCTATCGTTTGGATTCCCCTCAGTGCGTCACCTGCCACCCCTCCTCTCCTCCTCCGCTCATTGCCCCCCCGCTTTCACGCTCTTGTCTCAGCTGTTGCTGCAGCCCACCATCAGCATGCTGCTGTGCGATGCACTCGTGCCCTCATGCCTGTCGCTGCCTGCCTGTGCCTCCTCTTCGCCCTCCCCCCATGCAGGTGCCGGCGTTGGTAGCGGCCAACATGGACTATGCCATAGCTACCGTGTGCCAAGGCCTCTCCACCCTGCACTGCCACCCCTCCGCGCCCCGCCTGCTGCTCGCCGTCATGCACCTGCTGCCCCTCGTACCTCCCGCCTCTGCAACCGCCGCCCCTGCTGCTCCTGTACTGCCTGCGGCCCCTGCAGTGCCTGGGGAGTATGCGGGGGAAGCAGCAGACAGTCGCCTGCACCAAGCTGATGCGAGCAAACGCTCCGGGTCATCAGCAGTGGGAAGCGGAGGGGCAGCAGCAGCAGGGTCAGCGGTGTCAGTGGCAGCGACAGCGGCGTCGGTGTTGCCATCGGCGTTTGAGAGCATGCTGCCCCTCATCATCCACCCGGTAACCATGCCCGTTAGCGAGTCACTTTCAGAGGCATACTGCCATCACGCCTACCTGCTGCTCATGAACTCAGCATGACTCCTTTTACCGACCCTCGCCCTTCCCCCCAATAACCACCATGTTCAATCCCACAATGTATCCCTCTTGTTCAGTGATATCAGTCCTGTGCTGGGAGATCTCGTCAACTGCTCGTGTACCCTCCTTGCGAAAATGGCACTGCTCTGTCCTTTACTGCCATCCTCGTCTCCCTTCCCCATTCTGCCTTCCCCATTCTGCCTTCCCCATTCTGCCTTCCCCATTCTGCCTTCCCCATTCTGCCTTCCCCATTCTGCCTTCTCCTCACTGCCTTCGCCTTCCCCCTTCTTCCTTCGCCCTTCTCCCTTCCCTTGTCACAGATTCGTTCTGTCCTGGCCTCGCTCCAAATCACCGCTCGTTTGCAGCATGCCCCCCATATAGTCACCCTCGTTCAGGTGCTCCGTGTGCTGATGTCAGCATGTGCCATTGCCACATCAGCAAAGCGCGCAGATGCCGAGGCTGCAGCCTCGGCAGCAATTGCGGTGCTCCGGAGGGAGGAACGAGCCCGGCGCAAGCAGCTTCGGAAGCTGCGGCGAGCCAAGGAGGGATGTGGTGGTGAGGAGGGGAGGAGCAGACTGGACGCTCGGAGCGGCCTTGATAAGCCTTACCCACACGTCAGCCGTGTTAGCCCTGAGTCTCATGCTGCTGGTCTCGCAGCCTCTCCTGCCGGCATTGAAGCTCGGCTTGCTCCTCAAGGGAGCAGTAGCAGCAGCAGCTTGTGTGGTGGGAGCGGCAGCAGTGGTGTCGCAGATAGCGGCAGTGCCAGAGACTCAAAGTCACCAGCTGATTCAGGTGTGCAACCCCTTCACCCACCTTCGTTCCCCCGTATTCTCACAACTTCTAGTTTTTTTCTAGAATTGTAAAAGATGGCTTGTCGAACTCCCTGCAGTGTGTGTCCTGTTGTTCACCACCGCTCCTTGCTCTTGCGGCTTGTGGTATCCCTTTGCCTGTCCTGCCCGCCCCACCAGCAGCCGTGCGTGCCTTCTTCACACGCCGCATGCAGGCTGCTGCCGCTGCTGTGCGGGGTGAGGGGGCGCTGAGTGGGACGGAGGCAGTGGAGGGGAAAGAGGAGGAGGGTGAGATGTTGGGGGAGGGGGAGAGGGAGGAAGAGGGGAATTCGAGTGATGAGGAGTGGGACAACTCAGGGTCGGATACAGAGTCAGAGGGAGATGACAAGGAGGAGGCACGGGAAGAGGGGAATGCAGCTGAGCAGTGGAGTGTGCGCCATGTGCTGAGCCAGCTGTCGGATCGCACGAGAGTGGTGGCCATGCATGCACAGCTGGCTGCCGCCTGCCTGGAGGCCTGTGGGCCGCTCATGGCCAGTCGGGATGCTGAGCTGGCGCTGCTCGCTGCTGACGTGGCGCAAACTTCTGTGGCTGCCATGTCAGCGTCTGATGTCGCACAGCGAGCGAGGGCCAATGAGCTGGAGGCGGTGAGGGAGGTGGTTCGGTTGAGAGTGAAACGAGCCAAGACACACCTCACTGCCCTGCAGGACTCAGGCTTGGGCACAGGTCCGGCCATAGGTTTGGAGTCAGGTTTGGGTGGAGGTCTGGGGAGCGGTTTGCTGGACTGGTTGGAGGATGATGTGGCAGGGCTACAGGCTGACCTGGCATCGCTGCAGGATGACGTGGCAGCCATGCATGACACGGAGGATGCTCTCAAGGTGGCGGATGCTGTGAGGGACGAGACCAATTGGCTGCTGCCACGTGTGCACATGATCTGGCCCCATGCTGTCTCTGGCCTCACGAGGAGCCACCCTGCTGTGAGTACTCTCAGCAGCCTAACGCAGTGCAGTTCCAATCAGTCAGTGCTGAGCCCGTGTGATGTGAAGGGTGGCCAGACCCTTTCTATTGGGTGCTTGATATTGCTCTTTGCTCTTGCCTATCTCGTTCCTGGTCGTTCTACATTTCAATCTTACAGTTATTTTTTTCCATCTCATTCCTGCTTTCAACCTCCCATTCTTTTCCCCCTTCCCCGCTGCCCTTTTCCATTGCCAGCTCATCATCTCATCCATCCACGTCATCACAGCTCTGTCCACGACGTGTGACGATGCCTTCATGGCCAGAAAGATCCGGGAAGATTCCTGGCCTCTCATGGCGGCCCTGCTCCTCCAGGGCCCCCCTCTTCCCTCTTACTCCTCTCCCTCCTTCTCTTGCTCCTCGCCCTCCACCCCCTTCCTCGCGTCCATCTCCTCTCGGCGTCTCACCAATCCAAGTCCCGTGGACCTCACGAGGCTACTCACCCTCAGACCCGTACCAGATTCTGGTTCGGTGGCATCGCCGAGCCTGGCTACTGAACCTGCCACATCAAACGACTCTGAAGGTGCACCCTTACGAAAGGTTACATCAGCAGTAGGACCAGCCACGTTAGCAGCAGCAAGGACAGCCCCCTCGCTTTCCAGCTCTCTGGTTTCCCCTGCTGCCCAAGCTGCTTTCTCCCACCTCTTCCCTTGTGCGTCAGGTTCGGGAACCGAACCTACTCTCACGAGCCGCCTTCAACCCATGTCCCGTTCGGATCTCCTCCTCACTCCCACATCCTCCACCCAACCCCAACAACACACACAGTACCCCTCACCCTCTTTTCCACACCCCCCCTTACCCTCCTCCTCACACCCACTCTCTCACGCTTCCATAATGGCCCCATCACCATCCCCAACTCTTTCCCAGACCACGTCAGCATCCACTAGCACACGCAACGCTGCCACGTCAGCATGCTCAGGTGTGGCACCTTCTGCGAGAGAGCGAGTGCAAATGGCAGTGCTGATGTGGATTGCAGAGGTGGCGCAATCTGACAGGTCGAGAGAGGGCGGCGGAGTCGCGTTGAGATCAGTGGCATGTGATGTGATTGTGGTGCTTATGGCAGTGCTGGCAGAAAGGAGGAGTGGGGGAGAAGAACTAATTCATGCTTTCCGCGATGGCGGCAACAGCAGCAGTAGCGATCTCAAGCCATCCATGGTGAAAAGGGCAGCTGAGGCAGCAGTATCTCTTGGCCGCGCACACAAGGAGAATGTCACCACGTTTCTGTCTCATGTCATCCAGTCAATTGCTTCCACATCACCGCCGCAGCTAAGTGCCGCTGCGCAGAGATCCGACATTGTGGTCGTGGATGGTGGAAATTCAACAGATGGAATTTCCCAGAACGAGCTTGTGAAAGTAGCAGAGGCGTCGTTACGAGGCACAGGTAATGTGGAGAAACAGGGCAGCCACGTTCATTTGCTTTCGAAACTGCTGAAGTATCTGCAAGAATGAAGTGCATTAGTGTGATTTGTTTTGTGCCAATGATGTGTATTTAGCCAGATAAGATTTTCTCGTGTAGTGTAGAAGCAAATTCTGCTGAACTCATTGGTATTCCCGCAACTCGCTTCGTGAATCTTCATCCCTTCACAGCTAGATGCAGGAGCCCTGTCTCCAGCTTGTCACACCCACTATGCAAGGATGTGACCAATAGAATCATCGCAAAAGAAGTAGATACTCGAGAATACACGTCACCACCAATAGCCCTTTCTGTCGCCAGTGTCGGCTTAGCAAGCGCGTGCGCAGACCTGATTTTCCCAGGAAAGGCACAGCTGTCGCACAGCCGAGCATTCTTCCACAAGCAGGGGCTGTCGTTTATTGGGTGGCCGCATGTACGAAATCGGTGGTGCTCCTGCGACGGAATCTCCCTCGTTTCGATGCTCTTCGCTGCACGAAGGTCGCCTTCCTCGCAGTTCTAACGGCCATTATCTCCGATACTCAGATTTCGCCTGAGCGCGTTCTCAGATGTAATCACCAACAGAAACACAGTTTTTCGATATAGTGTGAATGTATTTTGTTACATGTTTGTATACAGTCACTCAAAAAGAGGAAGTCTAGCACTTGCAATAAATAAATATAATGCCCGTAGCGAACCTATATGTTTTCCGGGAAGGATCAACCCGAAACACCGAAAGCCTCCAAATATTTTGGAAAACATATTGCAACCCACTTGACAAAAAAAGTAATACCCACCTCGGAAATGGATGCGACTCGGGAGGCATCAACCCTAAAAACAATGCCCATTTCCGTGTTTAGGGTTGACCCCTCTCGAAAATGCATCCAGGTTCCCTAGGGTTTATATTTTTTTCTGCCATGCCCGAATAGGTCTCGGTAGCGTCCTCTAGTGCTTTCGGAAGCGTTGTTTAGCGGTCAGTTGCGCTACTGAGCACTACCAAGTGAATTATATGGGTTTCATTCTCTTACCACCTTAATTTCCGTACATATAACCAGGTCGGGAGGGTAAAGTGGATGGTTTTGTTTTTGTCACTTCCTAATGAGTTTGACCAGCGTGAGAAATGTGACTAAAAAGCAACGACCAATCAACGTTGAGGAAGTCCAAGTTGATTACACCTGAGAGCGCGCTCAGGCAAAATCTGAGTTTTTAAGATAATGGCCGCAGTTCTAAACTTCGCCAGTCGTCACTCCCCGCAGCTGTTTCGCCAACCTGTCTGCCAACCGTGCTCCATGTCTTTATCCGTGCGATCATTCATCTCGCCCTCCATGTCGCCGCTGACGATTCGGCCACCTATGGTGCCAGTGGTGACTGAATCTAATCCCCACACCTTATAATTTTCTCCATCAGTTCCAGCTCGGTCGTTGATTCTCTCAGCCCATCGCCGCTCTGTCTGTCACTCTTCAATCGCGTCTCGATTATTCTACGCAAGAGCGTGGTAGTATGCCTCTACTCTCAAGCCCTAGTGGGCAAGATGCTGCATCCCTTCCACCAGCGCAACCTTAAATCGAGGACATCGAATCTCACGACTTCATCTAACGGCCATTCACGAGCCCGTGTCTCCAGATTGTCCCGAGCAATCGGGCATTCAGTTATCCCCATTCAACTGATTTCGAACCCGCGGGGTTAACTCTTTGAGCGGTACGAAGAGAGCTCTTCTGCAGCAGCCATGGCGGTGCCGCTGGTTCGCACGACAAGCGCGGACTCGCCTCTCCGCGCGCCGGCATCCCTCATCCCCGACGCTGACTGCCTCGACGTCCCCACCGTCCTCGTCGTCTTACCCGACGGCTCCGTGCGACTGTACGACACGCGTCGCCTGACCGTGTGCGACGTGCTGTGCGACTATCCGAGCCACGCGCTGTCATGCACGACCACGGGCCCCGTGCTCCAGCAGCAGCGGGTCCTTAACCTCAACGCCACCTACTACCTCCGCCGAGTCTCCCCGCCCGCGGCGGCGGCTGCGGCGGAGGCTCTTTCCGCGAGCGTCGTCTCGGTGCAAAATCCCGATCTTCAATGCGCGCCGTTCTCGGCGGCGCACTCCCCGCACGACACGGGGGGATGCCCCAAGGAGGCTCTTGACTCGTCGTTTGATGCGCCTGGAGAGGAGACTAAAATGGCGCGGTCCGCCTCCGCGCGGAACCTCGAGCAAAATCGCGCGCAGTGGGAACACGTGGCGGAGCGGAGGACTTCCAGCTGGGACGCTGCGGATCCTGAGCCACGTCGGCATGACGTCAGCGACGGCATCATCCGGGGCAATCGCATAAATCCAATTCTGGCCGAGGTAAGCAGCAAAAGAACATATATCTGTTCCTGCAGCTAAGTTTCACGTTTGTTGAAGAGTGGCCCTCTTATGCTCCCCCCCCTGTCTCCCACGACGTGTGGTGTTTGCAGTTAGAAACGCTGGAAGACGACGGCGAAGTTCCTCCCACGCCCTCGACGGAATCCGGCAAGTCGTCGTCCCCCACGGCCAGCGCGAGACGGACTCTGATGGGCAAGCTGGTTCGCTTCAAGCTGCCCATCGGGCGGCGCAGCAGCAGCTACGATCAAGCCTCTCCCGTCGGATTCCGCACTGAAAACACTCGCGTGAGCCCCCGAACTCCGCGCTCTCCGTGCCCTGTCATCCCTAAGAGCCCCCGCTTCAAACCTTCAGGCACAGCTGCTGCTAACACTTCGGTGCAATTCGAATTGAGCGACACGGATATCGCGTGCCATGGCAGCTGGGGTGACAATCTCCCAAAGGCGAGCGGGTATTCCCGGGGGGGAGAGTGGGTGGATGTGAGCTGCGACGTGTTCACGAGCGACACACGGATCGTCCGCCGCGCGGTCATGCTCGTAAAGCCTGCGGGGACCATGAGCGGGGGTGCACGTAACGCACAGCCGCTTATTCAAAGAAACTCGTCAGATCCTGCATTGGCTGCTGGTTCGCGGGCTGTAACACCAGTGTGGTTGAAAAATGGCAATTACACTCAGCAGTTCCCTCTGCCTGTTGTGGTGCCAAGGCAGTCGCGGCACAGCGCTGATTTTATCTCTTCAACTGAAAGATGCTTCACCAGCCCCCTGCTTCATCGGATGCTGGAGACATGAAGCTGGGATGGGATGGGATGGGATTACCGTGTCCTGATTTGTCTGTTCCATTTAGATGCCTCTGTTAGTTAGTCTTATTGCTCCAGCACCTTATCGCTTATTGTAGGTGGAGTGCAGTGTATTTTGGGCGATCTACATCTCTCTGAAAGCTACTACCGAGTGTTTAGGGGATGCAAAAGGCTGCTGTTGTTAAAGGCCGGATGCTTGAAAACAAGAACCCAATGTGGAACCGTGTTGCTCTCATTGAGAGTTGAACTCAAGACCTCCCGCTTACTAAACGGGTGCTCTAACCAACTGAGCTATGAGAGCCAAAATCAACTGCCAACTGTCAGTAATCGATTCACGATTTTTAATGTCCCCAATAGGGCATACAATAACCTAATTACAAGGGAACAGAGAATGTGCCCACGGATAATACAGTATATGGCCATCAATGAGACAAGTGGTATCAATCAAGTCAGCACCGTCGGGGAGGGGGGTCAACCCTGAGGCCAACAGAGGAGCACTGCGAGCCACTAGCGGGCAGAGGCGGGCAGTACAGAAGCGAGGTCGGGCAGTCGGGCGAGGCACAAAGCATCTCCACCACTCGGAGCCACTCGGTGAAGGGAATGTTGGTGGAGAACTGCAGGCTGGCACAGTCCCTGCCCCTCTTCCTCAGATAATACTCCCGCCAAAAGTCCAGCAGCGCCCGAAAGTTTTTCATCACGCTCCCCGGGCCGACCCCGGTGGACAAATCTTCAGAGTTGGAAGAAACCGGGTCAGGCAGCAGAGAGGGGTTGATGAGAGCAGAGGACGGAGGCTTGGAGAAAAAAGAGGGTGAGCGTGAGGAGGGCGAGGAGGGCGAGGAGGGTGGAGAAGGGGAGGACGGGTTAGCAGGAGAGGAAGGGGAGGAGGGTTGGAGGAGGGTGGTGGAAGCGGCAAGTGATGCAGGCTGGGCCTTGTCGGCGGCTCGGAGGGCGGAGAGCAGAGAGAGGAGCTGCGCGTTGCGATTGGCGAAGATGAAGAAGATGAGTGCCGTGTTCAGCACACAGATGTTGTCCTGCATGGGGTGGGGGGGGAAAGGCGGGCGGGGCAAGGGTGGGAAGGGAGTTTGGGGATAAGAACAAGTTAGAGTGGTGCACACAAATGGTGTGCTGAGGAGAGTGGGGGATAATGAGGGCGAGGGATGAGAGTGGGAGACAGGGTGTTTCAAAACAGATGCGGAGGAAATGAGAACAATTGCTTCCCTTGTAAACGCTTTCACCACTTATGCCCCTCCCCCCCCCCTCCGCACCACACAACCACAACCACGACAAACCCCAGCAACATACAACCCACAAAGACAGTCTGCAATGCACCCAGCACACCCCTCTCACCCCACATCGCACCCCTCATCCCCTCTCCCAGGGTGCGCTGTGCGCACCTGGTTGATGTCGCCCAGGCGCACGACGAGCATGAGGTCGCGCAGCAGCAGCACCGAGTTGCACTCCATGAACGCCGCCAGGGGCGATGCCAACTCCTCCTCCTCCTCCCCCACCACCGCCGACCCCTCCCCCATCACCCCCTTCCCCTTTGCCTTCCCCTTCGCCTCCCATGCACTTCCTCTCTCTGCACTCCTTCCCCCTTCCTCCACCTTCTTTTTCCCCTTCCTGTCTGCAGCCGCCTCTGCTGCTGACGATGCTTCAGCGACCCCACGTGGTGATGCACTACGGGGTGTGCCCTTGAGAGCCGACTCCTCTTCCCTCTCCCTGCCCCTTCTCTCTGTGCCCTCGCCTGAGCTGCTGTTGGCATCGCCACCATCCCCATCACCACCACTCCCGCCGCCACCAGCATCAGCATCAGTACCGTCAGCAGCAACTCTCGACTCCTTCTTTGCCTCCTCTTCCCCACAAGCAGCAGCAGAAGCAGCTGAAGAGGACCGCAGGTCAGGCGCAGGGCTTGAGGAGGACGATGCTAGCGACGGCGCAGCGGACGTGGATGGGATGGCGGGGGACAGCACAGGAGGGGGGAGCGCAGGCGTGGGGCAAGGGCCGAGGTAGGGCGGGGTGGGGAGGGCGGTGCGGAAGGCGTGGAGGGAGAGCATGACGGAGCGGATGAAGACGTTGGAGTCCACCAGGTGCGCCACCAGCACCTCGATGAACCGGCTGAACCGCTCGCCCTGCACCAGCGCCGCCAGCCGCCGGAACAGCACCGGGTTGAACTTGACGAGCTCGCCCAGCAGGTCAAAGTCGATCTGCAGGGACGCCGCACACTTAAAGCCCGACGCCCCTCGGAGAATCTCCTCCACGAGGTGCTCCATGAGGCCTGTGGCCGCGACCAGCTGCTGGTCACGCGGGTTGGAGCCTCGGAGAAACGCCTCGACACAGGAGGCGAGCCAGAAGCGGTACACGGAGTCGGCGGACTCCTTCATGAGCACTCGGATGATCTTCAGCATCAACGCCTTGTTCTTCCCCTCCTCGCCCGCCCCGCCCTCCACCACCCCACCTGCTCCCGCTGCTGCTGCTGCTTCTGTTGCACATGCTGCTGCTTGCGCGCTGCTTCCCTCTCCTCTGCTGGCGCCCACTCCCACGGCCTGGGGCAACACACCAGAGTCACCTGCGCCATCTCTGATACCCAAGCCAGGCAGCCACTGGTTTGGTGAAAACCCTAGCGCCCGCCCTAAGCTCGCCCCAAACCCCAGCGCATACCCGTGCTCCTCTCCCTCTCCCTCTCCTTGTCCCCGCCCCTGTGCGTTTCCCTCTCCCTGCGTGCTTCCCTGCACCCTCCCATCCACACCCCCGCTGCTGCCGCTGGAGCTGCTGCTGCCACCACTGATGGTCCCCCCACCACCAGCACCACCAGCAGCAACACCACCAGCAGGCATGCTTCCAAGGGTGCTTACACTTGCAGCGATACCCGGGGCAGCAATCAGGGGTGGGGTACCAGCAGCGAGGGGCGGTGGTACACCACCGGGCGAGGCGAGCAGCAGCTTGTTGTGCAGGTTGGGGCCGTCCCGGTCACAGAAGTTGTGAATGAGACGCAGGTACTGGATCTTCAGGGCCTGCGAGGGGTGCAGAGCAGAGCAGAGACGTGGAACGCGGTGAATAAAGGCGTTGAAGAGTCAGGAAAAAACAGTGGTTAAAGATGAGACACTGGGACTTGGGAGGACTTAGGGAGGTACAAAACGTGGAGCTGACGTGCAAGTAGATGCAGAGGGATGAAAAGGCGTAACACGGAGCCACACGTAAAGGCAAGGTACTGGCAGCCAGGTCATGCAGGCTGGCTGTGGAAAGTAGAGGAGAGCCAGGCTGTGCGAGGAGAGGCACTGACCGACTCGGGGTTGCAGGAGCAGCCGGGGCCGTGGATGCCATGGGGCTCAGCGGGCGGCGGCAGCGGGGCGGACCAGTTGAGGCGGTCAAACGAGTCCACGAGGATGCCCACCAGCCCCAGCGCCGCCAGCTGGTCCTGCACCGCCTCCTTGCGTTTGCCCCCGCACAGCGCACACAGCACGAATAACACCTCCACCTGCTGCTGCCGTCAAATGGGAGCACGTGCGCAACAGGCACACACGGACGCGAGTGACGGGAGAATGTACTGAGAAGCTGCAAGGCGGTGGGATATGACTGGCAATGCTGATTTGAATGCGGGAAAGGGCGTACCAGGCATGGAGCAGAACACAAACGGCCGCACTTGCCATTCAGTACCATTCCTTCCACAACATTTCGTGCATGCGATGCCATGCCATGCCAGTGCCCAGCCTTCTAGTCACCTCCCCACCGCTCACCTGCTGCTCCATGAACGAAGCAGCCATGTTCGTCGCCACAGCAGCAGGCCCCGCGCCCTCTGGTAACCCGATTTCGCCAGCCCTCAGGACAGTAACGGCGCCCTGGGGCAGCGCGCGCAGGAAGGGCTCCAGCTCGCCCTCGGGCACCTCCCCCAGCAGGCGCGGCGGGTTCCCCACGAACACCATCACCCGCGCGCCCGCGGGGATGCCCGCTCCTGCTGCCTCCGCGGCGGTTGCAGCAGCGGCGGGGTTGGCAGGCGCGGTGAGTGGGAGCAGGTTCAGGGGATTGGCGGTCATTGGAATGCCTGTAGTATTCACTTGGGGAAGCGCTCCCGGTTGGGTTGCAGTGGGTGGAGTGCGGTTGGGGGGCGGTCGAGGCGGTGAGGTGGAGGTTCCTGTAAGGAGGGTAGGATGGGGGGAGAAGGGCAGCACAGCGGCATGGGGGGAGGGGGGAAGCAGGGGTGGCATGCGGGGCGGAGGAGCGGCAACAGGCGGCGAACGCGGGGAGAAGGGCCCTTGGGTGGTATCTGCTGCTCCGCGTGGTGCCACTCCTGCCACAGGCACAGCAGCACCAGTTCGCCGTTGACTCACAGCCACAGCACCACCACCGCCATCTGGACCAGGCTCCTGCTCCTCACCTCCTTCCCCTGCGCCTCCTCTTCCCTCCCGCGCTGCTCCTCCTCCTCCGCCTGTTCCCCCTGGACGAAGTCCCCCTATGCCCCCAAACAGCCCAAACCCTCCCCAGAGATTCCCCCTGCCCGCCTGCCTGGCTGCCGCGCCAGAGGCCTCCGCCCCGCCATCTCCGCCGCCCCCCACTGCGCCAGCGCTCTCCGAAGCACCTTGTGCCGCGCCTCTGCCCCCCCCACTTCCTTCCGCCTCCCTCCCTCCCCCATTACCGCCACTGCCACCGCCAGTGCTATGGGTGCTGGTACCAGCATCGCCGGTCCCCCAGCCGAACAAGCCCTGGATGAAATGAATCGCGCCCGCAGCCGCACCCCCACCCGCGCTCTCCCTCCTCTCTCTCGCACCTCCCGACCTCTCCACACCATCTCCTCCACCCAAAAGCCTCCCCAACCTGGTCCCCTGCCGCTCGCCCCCACTCCTGCTCCCCCCTCCATGCACTTCCTCCCCCTCCTCTACTTCCCCCTCTTCCCGTCTCTCCTCCCCTTCTCCGCCCTCCTCGTCGTCCTCCCCTGCGATCTCCTCCTCAACATCCTCGTAGAACCCAGACCCTTCCCCTTCCTCCCCCTCCTCTCCCTCTCCCTCCCCCTCTGCCTCTGCCTCCACATCCTCGTCCTCCTCCAGCAACTCACCCTCCATATCAACCTCCTCCTCCACCTCCTCAACCTCCTCCTCCACCTCCTCATCCTCCTCCTGCTCCTCTTCCTCCTCGTACTCCTCCCCGTCCTCGTTATAGTCCTCTTCGTCGTCCTCTTCAGGCCCCCAGTCGGCAGCGGTCTCGTCTTCCCCAGCCATGAGGTCGCCCAGCAGCGGCTGCCACTCGCTCAGGCTGGGCGACCACAGGTCCGCCTCGCCGCTGCTCTCCATCTGCCAGTCACAGTCACAGGGTCAACACACCATCATGCACAGCGATACACAGCTATCGCACACTTATAACAATGTACTAATGGTGGTGCTGATCATCACGGAACAGACGAACGGAAGAAGCAAAACACTTTGGGGCTGTGAGCAAACACAGCGGGACCCGACCTGCAGCAGCTTGACGAGGTTGGCGAGGATGTCGGGGATGGCCAGCAGAACGTCGTGGTTGCCGTCCGCCACCGCCCACTCCGCCTCCCGCTCCACGCGCTCCGCCGGGTCCGCGCCCTTCTGCAGCGCGGAGACCTCGGGCGCGCGGTCCTCGGGTTCGAAGACGACCATGGCGAGCACGCGGCAGAAGAAGGAGAGCTGCCGCGCCGACAGCCCGCGCACCAGGCGCGCGAAGTTGGGCACCGACCCCAGATTCAGCGTCTCCTCCCCCACCGCCAGGATCTCCTCCGCTAGCGCGACGGCTGTGACGGGGTAGAGGGGAGGACGCAAGCGGGGAAAGCATAGAACGAGCTCAAGACGAGATGCACGAAGAGCTAGAAAGAGCAACGAATCAGATGGGCAGAGAAACGAGAGACGGGAACTAGGATGCGCCAAGAGCATGAACGCGCAGGAAACGTGATGCGGAAGAGACAGAACGAGCTCGAAATCAGTCAAACCGAAGAAGTGTCGCTGGCCGGCATGCGACGCGCACTGTCCATCCATGGTGCGTACCGTAGTCGAATGTGATCTTATTCTCCATGAGCGCGAAGAGGCGGATGAGGAACTGGCGCTGCACGGACAGCCCCTCGGAGAAGCACGCGGACGCGAAGCACATCTCGCGCAGCACCGCCAGGCAGTCGTTGCGCATCATCCACAGCGCCGTCTCCTCGCGCGACGTCTCCCCCTCTCGTAGCGTCCCCGACTCCCGCGATCCCTCCGCGCTCTCCGTGCGGAAAATCCCACGGCGGTTCCGCGATCCCCCCCCAACCCTTCCCCCTCCGTCAGATCCCGCTGCTGCTCCCGCGGTAAGTGCCGTGGAGCTTCCTTCGCGACCTGTTTCGCGAGAATTCGCGAACGGCGAGGAGAGAATGCGGATGAAGAGGGTGTCACCTCCGCAGTAAACGAACCAGTCACGGCTGCTCTGCTGGTTGCTACTCGAAGACTCCCCGATGTTGCGGAAGATCCGGCCAATCACACTTCTGCACGCTTCTAGATCGTTCGCCAAAAAATGCGATTCGACATCCTTGCATAAGCCAGCCATGCCATGAGACAACGCGTAGAGCCTTTGATAAAGAGGCTTCGGAAGACGACGGATGCTCTTAATACTTCTGCCGGAGATCTGGCCATAAGCGACGGAAGCGAAGACATTCCTATCGCGTCTGGATCTGAGAGAGCGTTTGCCGGTCGACAAGGGTAACGCCAAGGGACCCATGGCGTGTCGCTGTAGTCACGGGCCTTCTGTGCGGAAAACCTTGCCGATCCTTGCTTAAACGCTTCCTCCAAAAGCTTGCGCCAGGAGTTGTTCACTCTACTAATCGTTACAGACTGACGACGCCGCCTGCCGCTGTAATGAGCGTAATGGCTAATGTTGAAGGGAGATGTCAACGCGTTCTGTCGACCAAAGTTCTGGCGAAGCTGCGGCTACTCCTGCAGATTTGAGGTGCGACGTACGGCAGTAAATCCAGTGAGTCCAGGGATGAATAAGTCCGCGAGGTGGTCTTCCGCACTCCGCTGGCGTCTGGATCACGCAAGGCTTCTCACGCCATCCAGGCGCAGACTGTAACGATACAGCGTGACTCGAGCTAGAAGCTGATGTGCACAAGCCTTCTAGACTTACAAGTATACTATGGTGGATTGAGCTAGTCGATGACGCAATCCAATCAACTTGACCCACGCTACACCACCAGCCAGAGAAAGGAAAGGAACCCTAACCTCGAAGCCAGTGCTGCTGCGAGAAAAGTGTGGTGGACTGAAGAAAGTGAAGGATCTGGCTGGAGTGCAGCAGCAATGACCACCTCACTCGGCTATGTACTGGTCATAAGGAGGACCCAGCGAAGCATGCACGAAGAGCTATACGAGTTACAAGTTCTCGAACAGCATTCGCGAATCAGACCAAGGCGGCTGAGCGCGGGGAGACGCCGTTCTGGTTTTCTTTAGGCACTTCAGTTTTCCCAGGGCCAACAGATACCCTGGTGTAGAAGTGTCAGGGACTTCTGCCGCGAATGGTTCTGGAAGTGACAGAATCGAGTCACAATAAGCTTCGACGGGCTCTAGATTTCAGTTTCCAGTGCGAAAACAAAATACTGCGGAATGCCCTAATATTCTCAAATCTCCGGGCGAGCCAGGAATTCCAAACATCGCCTTCCCGCGAACGACACCCCCGACACCATTGTGCGCGAGGGCGGGCTTGCGCCAGCTTCTCTGCAGCAGATCAGGCGCGCAAAATTGTCAGACCAGCGCACAGCACACCACACGGTCAGATATATGTCAGCTTTCGCACACGGTCGCACACATTCCCGGGCCGCAGCCGAGTGGATCTCTCAGGTGTCAGCTTTCGCACACTGTCGCCGTCACAATCGCGCAACCCCTACCAATCCAATATCGAATGTGATCGGCAATGTGAAGCATCTCCAACCTCGAGAAGCTCCCAACCAACCATTTTGACATGTGTGCTTGCTTGAATCGATTGCGCTAGGTGTCGCAGTGGCGCCATGGTGCTGGAGAATTTCTTGGCTTGAATGGCGCGATTCCAAACGAGCTGGGACACGCACGCTAGCATGGTGCCAATGATGTGAATCTCCTAACGCGCATCACGCCATCAATCTCCCGAAGAATGTCGTAAGCTGAGTCGCGATCGTTAGACCGCATCAGAAAATGTTTGCGAGGCTTTTCTTGAGTTCATCAGCCCACTCACCTCCGAACTTCAAGATCTCAACGATTTTCGAATGGCTACAAACCCCTCTTCCAAACCCGTTCTTCCGAGCACCGCAGGGCGAGCGCAACGGACGGCTTGCCATGCGCGCGGATTATGCATGTCCGTGAAGTTGTTTCAGCGGGGCAATCCATAGCCGGGATGCTCGTAAGGGTGACAGGCAGGTACAGTTGCACTGCTCTGAAAATTCTCTTTCGCCGTTGCGAAGAAATCATGAATACCAAAATGTAGCTGAGCTGCGAGTGTTTCAATTCGTGATGCCCCGTCTCTCTTCAGGATCCGACCAATAGCAGGGGGTGATGAAACGCGCATCAGGATAGAGGGTGGGTCTGGAGCTCTGCTCGTTGTAGACACGTCCCGTATAGTCACACCTGGCATGCGCCCTAACAGTCTGTTCCAGTTTCTGGGGAAGGTCGATTGGAGAGAAGACGCGGCAGAGGAAGACAAGATGGTGAGCTGGTGCCGAGGAGTGCCATGTGCCTGCCTGCCTGCTCACTTCCTGCTAAGTTGACTACAGTCTCAAAAATACCATGATAGATCACACCTCTTCTGTACAAGCACTCAAGAAGTTGTCTCTGCTAGATGGTGCACGTTCCTAATGGCATTCAGAATGCACACTTCTGCCTTCCCTCGCTTCACCAACCCGCAGTCTGCCCCCACCCAAGCCCACCGTCTTCCCCCCCACCTTTTTGTGTGCCTTGAGTCAGTCACAAACCCTCCTTTTAAGTTACTTGCAAACTCTGCAGGAGGCTTTGAGGCATCTCCAACTTCATTCACCTTCCTCCTCTGCCCCCGGCTTCCCCTGCAGGTGCTACTAGCGCAGCTGGGGCGGAGTGTGGAGGGCATGGACGAGGGGCTGTTTGAGAGGGCGCTGGAGCTCAAGCGGCAGTTCGAAAGCGCTGCCAGAGCTGCCAGGTAGAATGGGCTATGCGGCAAATGGGGAGGCCACTATTGTGCACGCCGGCAGCGCCAGGAATGATGAGTGGAGGGCATGGACAGAGGGGCTGAATGACAAGCGCTGGAGACTGGAGCTGAAGGGGCACTATGACAGCACCGCTAGAGCCGTGGGTTTGATGGAAAAAGAGAGTGTAGAGTGGTCATGTGCTGGGATTTGTAGTTGTGCTGAAAGCGGCAACTAAACATGCCATGCATTTGGCATGCACAACCTTAAGCTATCAGTACGTTTACTACAGCGTCACATGCAGCAGCATGCTGCAATGCAGGAAAAATGTAGCCTAGAGAGGGGCTAATTACAAAGGCATGCATGGCTCGCACATGGCTATGCAATACAATAAGACGGGCTCTTGCCATGCACTCGGCACAACTTGATTTCGCACGGCATGGCAAGGGCTTGACCCGGCCTGTATAGGGGTTGGGTTGGCCCGTGTGGATTGGCATACAGAAGTGCAGGGGTGCAGGGAAGCAGGTGCAGGGTGTGGTGCAGCAGGGGCATCAGGAGTCGATCTCCTGAGGCAGCTTAGCCTTGCCCAAATACACATACTCCATCTCCGCCTCCCATGCCTGCACGCCAACAGGGGGACGGGGGGTAGCGAAGGAGCCGCAGCAATGACTCTCTTGAGACGCACACACACCTCATCTCAACAAAGATGCTTGGTGACTGAGTCAAGTGACAAGTCAACCCCGAGCCATGCCACACAGCACATCTCTGTTCAAGGGGAGCGGCACACTGTAATGGCATCGTGATGCACTCTCTGCATTTCCCAAATATGCATAACCCACATCCTCCCAGGCGTGAATGAATGGAACGGGCTGTGCGTGCGCACACCAAACTCCTAGAAATGCGATTGCACTCACAGGGGTGCAATCCACCTAGTGACAAAGCCACTTGGTTGTGACAAGGCTTTCCTCTAGCAAAGGCGTAACCTGGTAGCAGCGAAACGCATGAGCCACTCAGCCACTCGTGAGTCGTCACCTGGCGGCACCCACCCACAGCACGCCACTCACATCACCTGCTAGAGGATTCACACCCCACCCAGCCCTGGTAGCGCCCCCACGGCACCTGGTAGTGGAACTCGCCCCACCTGGTAGCGGAACTCGCCCCACCTGGTAGCGGAACTCGCCCCACCTGGTAGCGGAACTCGCCCCACCTGGTAGCGGAACTCGCCCCACCTGCTAGCGGAACTCGCCTCACCTGGTAGCGGAACTCGACGCGGATGTGCGGCACGTTGGTGCGGTGGATGTCATTGCTGTCCGGGCCGCGCAGGAAGTAGCGCGGCCCTATCCAATGCGCCTGGGGGCAGGGGGCCAAGCACGAGAGGAGGAGGAGAGAGGGTAAGATTGTGGTGGGTGATGCTGTAAAATGTGACCATTGAGTCGTTTCAGGGGGCGGATGAGGAGAGGGGGCAATTGCAAAGCATGACGCATGCTGCACGAAACCTGGATTGTGGCGCAGCATCACAGCAACCTGGATTGTGGCGCAGCATCACAGCAACCTGGATTGTGGCGCAGCATCACAGCAACCTGGATTGTGGCGCAGCATGACAGCAAGAGGCGAGGCAGGTACCTTGGTGGGGTGCCAGAAGCCCGACTGGTACACGGAGTTGCGCGCGATCTCACACAGGTCGCATGATGTCAGACGCCACACCTGGTGTGCGCGAGGGGGAGGAGGGGAGGAAAAGGGGATCGGGGTTAAGTAGGTTTTGGAGAGAGAAAAGAGGAGCGCGGTGAAGGAAAGGAGGATGAGAGGAAGTTGTTTTCAGATGTGGCAGGAGGTGAGGCGCCTCTTGTGATGCACACGAGGGACGGAGATGCTGGGAGGGGGCAGCTAAGCAGAGAGCAAGGGGATTGGTGGCAACATGGATCACTGGCAAACCATGAGTGGAGCGAGTGGGTTCCAACACCCACCTGAGCGGCGATGCTGTACTCCTCGACGAGCGGCTCCTTGGTGAGGTGGATCATGAGCGGGTCGTCCGTGGAGAGCGACACGTTCAGCCCGCGCGCAAAGAACTGCGGGAAGGGGTTCTTGTGGTAGTCCAGGAACAGCGAGTTGTTGCTCAACGGGGACATGGCGAGCCCGATCTGCGCCAGGTAGTAGAGGTGCTGCAGGGCGGGCGTGCGGCGCAGGTTGTTGCCGTGCGCTATGTTGTGCGCCGTCAGGAAGGTGGCTGCTAGATGGTCCACGTCTCCCGCCTGCCGTGGGGAGGGGAGCACATGGGGGGCCCGGGCGGGGTTTGGATGGGGGAACGGGGGTTAAGGAGGGGAGTGGAAGGCAGAGAGCAAGGTGAGAAGAGGCTTGTTGCTGCGGGAAATGGTGTGTGATGTGGTTTGGGTGACACCTCGCACAGCTCCCCACTTTATCACCCCACCCCCCCCCCCCCCCCCTTTTTCCCCTGTCATTCCATCTCGCCTCCCCCTCCCCCTCCCCATCTCACCTCAACCCCCCCAGCCTCACCTCTCCAGAGTGCGGGCGGAACTTGAGGATGGAGAGGCCCTTGGACTCGCGTAGCTGTGCTCGAGGGGGGGAACGGGGGAGAGGGGGAGGTGCAGGGCGAAGAGTGACGGATGGGACGAGAGAGCGGCCGAGGAAAGGGGGCGAGCACGCGGATAGAGGAAGGAGAAGGCCAAGGGCAGAAGATTGGGATGCGAAAGACTTTCAGAGATAAACTACCTGTGAATACGTAACGCCACATGGGGCGACGTGGGGTGGGTTGCAGAAGAGGCTTTGCAAGTTAGAAACAGTGTGATAGGCAGGAATGGACAGCAGGCAGGATGAGAGCACGCCAACGGGCAGAGTGAGGGCAGAGTGAGGGCAGAGTGAGGGCAGAGTGAGGGCAGAGTGAGGGCAGAGTGAGGGCAGAGTGAGGGCAGAGTGAGGGCAGAGTGAGGGCAGGGCAGGGCAGGGCAGGGCAGGGCAGGGCAGGGCAGGGCACGGACGCGGTTGAGTTTGAGGAGGTTGGCGTAGACGTAGTAGGTGTAGTAGGCGTAGGCGGGGTTGAAGGGGTTGGTCCACTCCGCCGGTGTTATCATGTGCTTCGTGGGGCGGCGCTCCGGACGGCTCTCATCGTCCACCATGTCAAACCCCACCACCTGGTCATGGGCAGGGCAGGGCAGGGCAGGGCAGGGCAGGGCAGGGCAGGGGACACACGGGGGGTGCCGTAGAGGGTGTTAAGCGACGCAGAACATGCGGGCCACGGTGTGAGAGCACGTTCAGCTTTTCAGACACGGTGACGGACTGCTCTATGCAGTGCAGTACGACAAGTGACGTGGCACTCACGTGGTTGAGGAAGATGTGGAGGTGCGGGTGCGAGGAGGGGTCGACGGTGACTTGGAAGAGCGGCAGGAAGATGTTGTCCAGCATCGTCTGGAACGACGCCACTATTCCCATGTCCTTGTACACGTTGTATAGGCGGGGGAGCTGCCACGCATGGGGGGGATGGGGGGGAGATAGACAGATGGACAGAGAAGGAGAAAGGGCGGGAAGGGAAGCAGGTACTGGGGAGGCGCGGGTACCAAGGGAGGCAAAGAGAGGGGAAGCGGCAGAGAGGGGCAAGGAGGGAAGGTGCTGGGTGAAGGGATGGCGAGGCTGGCTGACTGTAACATGCATACCCGTAACAGCCGACCGAATCACACGCATACAAAACCACCTGACCCACCTGGATGAGGCGCCCACCTGGATGAGCCAGACGACGTTGGGGCAGTAGAGGTCGTTGTTAACCACCCAGCTCGCCAGCTGGTCCCACTCGCTCATCTTGCGCCCGTAGATGGACACCCTGTACTCCGCCATCTGCCCCGCACACAGGGGGGAGGAAGGCACGGGAGGGAAGGGGAGAGAAAGGCAGGGGAATGGGGGAGGTATGGCAGCATGTGAGGCAGACGCAGAAGCACAAGCAGAGAAGCAGAGGGAGGAGGGGATGTGGATGGATTGACACACAGCACTCCCCTTGAATGACATTGGATGAAGTGACAGGGAAATGAAGTGACAGGGAAATGAAGTGACAGGGAAATGAAGTGACAGGGAAATGCAGTGACAGGGAAATGAAGTGACAGGGAAATGAAGTGACAGGGAAATGAAGTGACAGGGAAATGCAGTGACAGGGAAATGCAGTGACAGGGAAATGCAGTGACAGGGAAATGCAGTGACAGGGAAATGAAGTGACAGGGAAATGAAGTGACAGGGAAATGCAGTGACAGGGAAATGAAGTGACAGGGAAATGAAGTGACAGGGAAATGAAGTGACAGGGAAATGCAGTGACAGGGAAATGCAGTGACAGGGAAATGCAGTGACAGGGAAATGCAGTGACAGGGAAATGAAGTGACAGGGAAATGAAGTGACAGGGAAATGCAGTGACAGGGAAATGCAGTGACAGGGAAATGCAGTGACAGGGAAATGCAGTGACAGGGAAATGCAGTGACAGGGAAATGCAGTGACGCTGAGGACGCCTTATTGCACCTCGCCTCCCGAGCGCCTAACTACCTTGCGCCCCTCACCTGGTACTTGGACGCCACTCCCCTCACCTGGTACTTGGACGCCACTCCCCTCACCTGGTACTTGGACGCCACTCCCCTCACCTGGTACTTGGACGCCACTCCCCTCACCTGGTACTTGGACGCCACTCCCCTCACCTGGTACTTGGACGCCACTCCCCTCACCTGGTACTTGGACGCCACTCCCCTCACCTGGTACTTGGACGCCACTCCCCTCACCTGGTACTTGGACGCCACTCCCCTCACCTGGTACTTGGACGCCACTCCCCTCACCTGGTACTTGGACGCCACCAGATCCGTGAACACCTCCTTCGTCACCTCCGCCAAGAACCTTCCTGGAAGGTGGTGAGGTTGGTGGATAGATTTGAGACGTCGCACAAGATGAAGGGGCGAGCGGGAGCCGCCGGGGAAAGGGTGTGAGCGGAGGGGAGAGGGTTAATAGGGTGGAGGTGGAGGAAGGAGGAAAAGGCTATTGAGGGGAAAGATATCGAAGGGAAAGAGATGATTGCAGGGCGGCAGGAGAAGCGAGTGGGAATAAAGTGTAAATATATTGTATGTGCAATTCACCCTGAATGAGGTTGTCCTGCTTGATGAAGATCTCTCTGAGTCGGCTCTGCCCGCACGGGTTGTACTTGAGGTTGAACTTGTCAAAGCGGTGGAACGTGTTCTTGTCCGCGTGCACGTCCAGCAGATCCACGTTCAGATCGTAGCTGTGAGGGGGCGGGGGGGGGGAGGTTGAGAAGAGGGTAAGGGGAAAGAGGGACGCGATAACCAAGGGGGATGTAGGGCGAGGGAATGAGAGGGACGTGACTGACTGCATGAACGTGCATCCAGAGGGGTGAGACTGAGTTCAAGCGGGTGGGTGAGAGGGGTTGCGGCGGACAGGCACTGACCCGGTGAGGTCGAGGCTCTCAAAGACCTCCTTGAGCGTGAGGTACTTGCCGTCCCGGAAGATCACCACCTGCCCACGCCACACACCACGCATTCATGCCGAGCACAGGTAGGCACGCACGCAGGCATGAATGAATGAGTGAAACCCGTGGCTGAACGAAACTTATGGATGCACGCCCTGTGCCGCCCATTCCTGTCCACCACGCTCCCTCATCCTCGCCCTGTCCCCACCCCAATCCCCCACTCCCCCACGTCCCAATCCTTCAACCCCCCCACCACCCCTGCCCTCTGACCTCGTCGGGCTCCTTGCGCAGCTTGGACTTGATGAAGCGCAGGAGGTGCTTCTGGTTCATGCACGCGCTGTGGTGCACGTGCGTGTCCACCTTGCGCACGTTGTACAGGTCGCGGTGCGGTGCGCTCTTCTGCGCCTTGAACTCGCGGTCCGCGTTCAGCGTCAGGTGCAGGTGGTACCGCTGGAGGGGGGTGCGACAAGGGGGCGAGAAGGGGGGCGAGGGGGGGGATAATGGGCAGTGGGGGAGAGAATGGGCACACAAAGGTTGGGGGGGCACATAGAAGAGAAGCAGTGGAGTGACAGTCCGTGCTGGGCCATGCATGCATCCCAGCACACTCTCCCAATCAACCCCACCATCCCCCACTTGCTCCAGAAACAACAGGTAAGCACAATGCAACAGGTAAGCAGAATGCAACAGGTAAGCAGAATGCAACAGGTAAGCAGAATGCAACACAAGCACGCACCCAAATTGGAGCGGCACAATGGGTGCTGCTTCCATGTGTGTGGAGCGGCACAATGGGTGCTGCTTCCATGTGTGTGTTCCTGGCGCGCCCACCTACGTGGAGGTCTGACAGGGCTGACTGACCTGCTCGAGGAGGCGCAGGCGGTGGAAGCAGAGGGAGCGCACGTGGCCGAGGGAGGTGATCTTGAGGATGCGGTGCAGATCAGTGAAGAACGTTGTGGCGTCGTGCACTGGGAACAGCTCCTCGCCCCGCTCCTTGGCTGACCGGGGTGGCAGGCAGACGGAAATGAGGTGGCATCGCATTAGCTTGTGATGTTTAGAAAATGGAGGAGAGCTACAAAGAAAGTGGCGGCATTGTGAACTACTGCAAACGCTGCTGCACAAACTGCTGAACACACTATACAACGAACCGGCATCAGTGAAGCATGTGAGTGACTCACCGTCCTTGTCTGCGAATATCTTCACCACGCCATCCACCATCTCTATCACATGCTGCCATGCCGTGGCAGGGGGCACACACCACGCGAACACCATGCACAGTGCAGCAAGAGACACACAAAGGTGACAATAACTTGAGCTTCCCGAGCCCAACTATGGTTTCTAAACATACCACACAACAACCGTTTCAAGGGAGCGACTGGCATGGCATGGGAGGCCAAGAGCAGAGGGAAGGGCGAGCAGCGGGAGGGGCTGGTAAGGTGTGGGGAGGGCGGGAGGGGGTGATTCACATGGGAGGGCGGCAAGGGGTGGCTCACATGGGAGGGCGGCAAGGGGTGGCTCACATGGGAGGGCGGCAAGGGGTGGCTCACGTCGGAGGGCGGGAGCGGGTCGTAGCGGAAGGGGTCGCTGGGGTCGGGCATGGGCAGTGCGTTGGCGTCGGCATGCCAGGGCTTGACGGCCTCCCTGAACACGTACTTGTCCCTCAGCTGCAGACACTCCTGCAGCAACACACACACCTCCTCGTCCTCCGCACTCGGCATGTCTGCCCGGGGAGGGGCGTGAGGGAGAGGGGGGTGGCGATGGGATGGATGGTGAGGAAGAGGAGAGCCATTCGCCACGCACACCTCAAGTGACAAGCGCGAGAGGGATACGACAGAGGGTGGGTGGGAGAGCACACAAGGGTTGGAGAGGTGAGGCAGCGCATGCAATGCACCTTGCGGGTAGAGGTTGAGGCGCACCTTGCGGGTAGAGGTTGAGGCGCACCTTGCGGGTAGAGGTTGAGGCGCACCTTGCGGGTAGAGGTTGAGGCGCACGTAGTCCTCCACCTCTGGCGCCTTCCTGAGCCGGTCCGCCGTGCCCGGGTCGGACACGGGGTGGTGAATGCTGTCCTGCACGCTCACCGCCCTCTTCACCCGCGCCTCCCCCCGCCCCTCCGCCTCCTTCTCCGCGCCCTCCCCGCCCTCCCCCTCGTCCCCCTCCTCCAGCTCCTCCACCATCACCTCCTCCCCCTCCTCCCCCATGTCCTCCTCTTCCGCCTCCTCCTCCGCCTCCTCCGCGCCCATCCCCCCCACCACGGACGAGTGCGCGCTCACCGAGCGAGGCGGAAGGAGCTCACCTTGGAAATTTCCTGGGGGAACGGGGCAAGGAAAGCGAGGGAGGGAGGGAGGGAGGGAGGGAGGGAGGGAGGGAGGGAGGGAGGGAGGGAGGGAGGGAGGGAGGGAGGGAGGGAGGGAGGGAGGGAGGGAGGGAGGGAGGGAGGGAGGGAGGGAGGGAGGGAGGAAGGGAGGGAGGAAGGGAGGGAGGAAGGAAGGGAGGGAGGGAGGGAGGGAGGGAGGGAGGGAGGGAGGGAGGGAGGGAGGGAGGGAGGGAGGGAGGGAGGGAGGGAGGGAGGGAGGGAGGGAGGGAGGGAGGGAGGGAGGGAGGGAGGGAGGGAGGGAGGGAGGGAGGGAGGAGGGAGGGAGGGAGGAGGGAGGGAGGGAGGGAGGGAGGGAGGGAGGGAGGGAGGGAGGAAGGGAGGGAGGGAGGGAGGGAGGGAGGGAGGAAGGGAGGGAGGGAGGGAGGGAGGGAGGGAGGGAGGGAGGATTTGGGCAGGAATCGCATTCACCAAAGGAGGCGAAGAAGAGAGCGCCACCACGGGAGTGCGCGCTCACGCAGCAAGGGGCGGCCTGAGGGGGATGCGCGGAGTGGGCCAGGGACCATCCGCGCGCTAGCCCCTCCCGCGCGCTTGACAGCACTCTGCCCTCTCGCGGATGAATGGGCCTCGCGCACAGCGACAGGGCGGCGGGATGGGCGTGCGGCGGCGGCGGGAGCGCACGCACCTTCTCGCAGCCCCGACGCCACTGCCGCCGACGCGTTCGCCGCCGCCAGCCGCGCGGCGCTGAGAGCCTGCATGTCCTGCCGGTCCAGCGAGGACGCAAGTTTCCCGGGCAGACTGCCCGGACTGAAACTGCCCGCGAGCGGGTCGAAGGCGTAGGGATTGGCGGCGTTCGACTGGGAGTTTCGGTGACTCCGCTGCTGCGGGCGCAGCGGCACGCCCGGGGTGGGCGCAGCTCGGCGCGCAGGGGCGGTCGTCACCTTGCGCATCTTCTGCGGCTTCAGCTGCGGGGGAGAGGGGGGGGGGGGGGGGGGGGGAGGGGAGAGGGGGGGGGGCAGATGGCGGAAAGGAAACGGGCGTTGGGCGCAAGAAAAACAGGGTTAGGGCAACGGCTTGGCGCGCAACAGCGGGTGGGGTCACAGACGGAAGGGCGGCAGGGGTCACGGGGGGAGCGCGCGTCCTTCGTTGCGTGCATCTCGCGCGAGATGCACGAAACGCACCTTGCCATCCTGCTCGGCGAACTTCGCGAGCGCCTGCGAATGGAAGTAGTACGACGCGGCTGCCGCCACCACGGCGCCAGATCCTGCGGCCAGCAGAAGCGCAGCCCAGTTGCTGCCGTCAGAGGCTGACGTGGCATTACCCGCGTGTGCCATAGCTGAAAGATGAGGAAGCGGGGGCAATGTAAGCAGGCCTAAACTACACGCAAATATAGAAAACTGCGGAATTGAGGAGCGGTCCGCCTATACCGCTAACCCCAAAGCGCAGCACAGCGAGCCGCGAACAGAAGGAGGCGCGCCGTGAGGTGAATGCATGTGAAAGAGTATAGTGGGCCTTGCAGTAGGGACTGCACGGTTGGGGTTGAACGCGGGCTTTGGTTGGGCTAAGGTTTGTGGGCAGGGGGGAATCCAGGTTTGTGGGTGGGGGTGATACCACCGTTTATAAACGTAACTAATCGTTTCAAACTTTACAAGCACCGCTGTGTTCTACTCTCTTAACTGATGGCACCGCTCAGCTGTGTGTGAGGTGTGTGATTGGGGGAGATGTCGTGGAGGGGAGCTAAGCTGATGTGGTTGAAGACTCTGATTGAACCACAGTGAACGTCCTTTTAGCGAGATAGCGAATAGGAGGGAGTAGATGATGGGGGATATTTGCTGCTTACTCTACAGATTCCCGTGCTGCCAAAAAAGCGCATCCGCTAATGACTATAACGACGCTACGAGACATGCATTACTTTGCTGAATACACTAAAGTAGTCACTAAGAAGTTTCCATGTTCAGTGGTTCAGGCACAGCCTCAAATGTAGGAAATTGTTCTCTCAGGAGCCAGGGGACGCCGTGTCTCACGCAAGTCGACAGAATTCTAGCTTTCCCGCCATGTTGTTTGCCTGAAGCGGAGATTGCGCTCTTCCCGTGGTTGTACGCGACACGACGTGCTCGTCATCTTTCTCCAGATAGAATTTGTCAAGGGGCATGAAACAAGGGACGTTCCATCCAATCAGGGCCTTCTGCCCCTCAAATTTTAGCGACACGCAATTATGGGTACACTCTACATGGGTCGTTTCATGCTGTTCTTGCCTCCACCAGCCAGCAGTGCTCGGCGCAAAATTAGGGCGTGTTAAATCGCCACACAATTCCGAAAATGGGGTTTGGCCGAATTTTCGACGACCAAATGGTCGTCATATTTTTCGCGAACAACTTTGACAGCCAAAATATACAGTTTTGGTAATTGAACAACTTTGGTGGCCGAATTGCAGGCTGGTTCGGAAAAGTTGTTAAATTTGCAGTTACTACAGTAGTTTGGTATGTGCAACGGGGTCGTACTTTTGAAGGCGATATTTCTCATTTGTCGCGATCACAAATTCTGTCGTTGGGCGAAACCATACGACGTCGCAGGCGTTCGTCGCACACTGTGTCGACTACTTGGCCGTTTTGGAGTCGACTCGGCGTCGTTTTCGTGTCGACTTTTTAAACGGCCATCAAATTCGTTATTTTTTTACGAAGTTTGCGACAGTCGCCACTTCACTTACGAGTGTCGCAATCTGGTTACATTTGCATAAACGGCCCGACGGATTGTGGCAGATTTTTTGGAGTTTGCGACTTAACACGCCCTTACGAGCCCCACCAGTATACCTGTAGGAAAGGATCCCAGCTTTGGGGCAGTGGTAGAGTTTTACGGCGAGATCGTCCAACTTTTCCAATCTGGCCGATCGTGACCGTAGAAACAAACAAATCTTCGACAAAGCCGACGTTCGTTTCCCTGTCAGAGATGAGCCACACTGCAGTTGTTGCCTACTCTCCTGCCAGGTGTCTTTCGCTGCCTTATACTTTGGCCATCCTATCGCCATCCTTCTCACCGTCCCTAAAGGGTTTTTTTTGGGATTCCTTCGCCATTTTTTCCGAGTATCATCTAGGCCGGCCGCAGCCTCTACTATTATTAGCACAAGGCAGCGCCCTTCGAGTCGTCGGGACCTTTTACCCGCAAGGCTCGTTTCTCCTTGCCGTATCGTCGCGTAGTTCGCTGTCTCTTACACTATCACAATAATCCCCACCTCATCCATCTCCATTCCTTCAACCACACCGGTCATCTTCTTGAGTGCCCGTTCTTTTCGTCGCTTCCACTCTGCAGTGCTCTTCTTACCTACCTTCTTTGAGTCGACTCAGAAACATTCTCATTAAAGCCCTGCGGCCTTCCAGCTCCTCGCCCTTTAGCGTGCTCACGGCATCATCGGGGCATTGCCGCCCTCGGCATTGTTTACCTGACTGAGCGCTCTGCTACGGCCGTGCTGGGTGTGCGTGCGGAGCACGACCATCTGCCCTTTCCGCCTCCTCCTGCGCCGCCATGCCGCGCCCTCACGCTCCCCTCATTGCACTCCCCCGCCTTTGCGCCGCGATTCTTTGCGCTGTCGCCGCTTTTTTCCCCGCGGTCGCTGCCGGCACTCCCGCCGAAGACGTCGCCGCGCTTCTCGCATTCAAGGCCGCCGTCACCAACGACTCGCTCGGTGCGCTTGACTCGTGGATCGACGGCCCCACCGCTTGTGCGTTTAATGGCGTGTCTTGCAATGGGAAGGAGCCGGACCGCGTCACTTCGATCTCGCTGTCGCAGACGTTTATAGAGGGACAGCTCACATCGGATCTCGGGAGTCTGGATCAATTGGAGCGGCTGGAGCTGGATGGTAACCAATTTTCGGGCGACATTCCCGACGAGCTTAGCCTCCTGACAAAACTAAGCGTGCTGAACTTGGCGCAGAACAGGCTGACAGGGCAGTTGAAAGAGATTATGTCAGCACTCGTCGGCCTCCACTCCCTCTCCCTCTTCTCGAACCTCCTGACCGGTAGCTTGCCCTCACAGATTTTAAAACTGCCCGACCTTGAGTTGATTGACGTCAGCGACAACCAACTGACTGGCGGTCTGCCCGGAAATGTTTTTCGTTTCGCAACTGCCCTGACATCCCTTTCCGTGGGGGTGAACAGCATGTCGGGGCCGATCCCAAGCACCGTATCCGCCATGTCGTCGCTCGTGTCGCTCGACCTCCGCGCCAACAATTTCTCCGGCGCGCTTCCTTCCGCCCTCGGCCGCCTCCCCCGTTTAGAGTACCTCGATATAACAGTGAACCAGTTCAGTGGTGGAATTCCCGGCAGCTTTGATAATCTTGACTCGATACAAGCACTTATTATGGCGAACTGCGGCTTATCGGGCCACATCCCTTCGACTTTCTTCACGGGCCTATCAGACACCCTTCAAGTCCTCGATTTGGGCATAAACGCGTTCACAGGCAGCATTTCCCGCTTCGCTACTCTGACAGAAGCCATCTACATCGAGCTATCCGATAACGAGTTCACGGGGGGCATCTCGCCCGCGTTCGGGTCGCTGCCCAAGCTGCAGCAGATCGGCGCCTCCAACAACCAGCTCACGGGCTCTCTGCCGTCCGCCCTCGCAAACGCGCCGAGCCTTGGGAGCATCCTCTTCGACGGAAACCGACTCACAGGTTAGGAATCTTTCCCCATCCCCTTGTCCCTTCTCTTCACTTCCTTCCCATACGTCAGTTGTACATCTCCCACTTGCGCCGTCTACCCCTTTGCTCTCTTTCCCTCCCCACCCACAACTCCAACAGTCCTTTCTGTTCACTCCTTCTCTCAATCCCCTTAGTCCTTCTCCCCCCTCACTTCCCGTCCTCCTTTCTCCCCTCCTTCCCTTCCACCGCCCACACCCTCCACCCGCCCCACACGCCAGGCAAGCTGTCCTCGGCGTTTAGCTGTGCGAAGCAGGGGCTGATGGCGCTCTACCTGGGCGGCAACCAGCTGCACGGCGCCATCCCCGCCGCGCTCGCCGGCTGCAAGGACACGCTGTACCAGCTGGACCTCTCCAACAACTCCTTCTCCGGCGCCATCCCCGCCGCGCTGGGCCACCTGGCCGAGGTGCGCAACTTCTCACTGGCGCACAACAACCTGTCGGGCGGCATCCCTGCGTCGCTGGCGGGCATGCGCAGCATGGAGGTGCTGGACCTCGCCTTCAACCAGCTGCAGGGCGCCATCCCCGCCGCGCTGGGCCAGCTAGACGGGCTGCACGAGGTGCATGTGCAAGGCAACGACCTGTCTGGCCCGCTTCCCTCCCAGTGGGCTGCCTTCCCCGTGGCGTCCTTCACTCCTGGAAACATGGGACTGTGCGGCGCTCCTTTGCCTGCTTGTGCTGCAGCGAGAAGGCTCCTGGCTCTTGCATAGCGCACCAGAATAGTCAGAGGCTCACCCAAGGAATATCTGGAGAAACCTACTTCCATGGCCTGTCTAGGTGCCCTATACCTTGCTTGATGCAGTGCTGATGGAAGCGGTGGTCGGCTGGTGTGGGGGAAACCACCATCACCAACTCCACTGCTCCTCTACCTTCTGTGCTGCAGTGTCACACCATCTCCGTGTGCATCCCTGACTTCGTCTTCCTGCAACACAGCCCGTATCATCTTCTATATGTATGAATTGGCTGTATACAGCTTGTTGTGCAAACCAAAGCCACATCAGGAACAATACATCATATCTCAAAGCCTTAGAACTTACCGTACCGTACCCAAATACCGTATTCCCCCGGACATACCACCCGCCGAAATAGAGCACCCCCCGGGTGGCTTGTGCGGGGGGGGGTGCTATAGCGGACCTCGTTTCTACTATACCCCCCTTTTGGGGTGAATTTTCTATAGCACCCTCCTTTCATACAAAATTTCTAATTATAGCTGTTAGCGAGTACTGCAGAACATCGCGGAAATAACTTCCGCGATGAAATTTCATGGTAGTTTCAATGTAATCTACCGAAATCACCCCCCTCCCTCTTTTACGCTACTGCCACGCTGGAAGATTGTTCACTACCAAGTGGCCAAAAAGGTGCCACTTGGCAATTTCAAGGGGGGTGAAAAGGATCTCGCCAAAACCCACATTCTCGCTTCTAGCTGTGATGGTAATCCAACTTTGAAAACACCCAAGTTGTCTTTGCATCAAAATCCTTACACTAAAAATACCGTATAAAAAGACATGGGCAGCGGGGGCCTCCGGTTGCGTACGAGTGCCTCTGTGTGTTGCGCCGATGACACCGCATGCGTCGAATCTTGTAGGGTACGGGAGGCTTCGATGAGGGGCTCGACGTATGGCGTAACATACATTTCCTTTGCTGT